AACTGATTGTTTATTTATTTATTTAAAGGTGTGAAGTGAAGAAGTAGGGAAAGAATACTAAATAATGCATATGAAAATATACGTCTGTACAGATGATACATTCATAACTCGAAATCGGACTACAATCTGGACGAATGGCTGAACATGCTATGAAATGAATGAATGATTAAGTACTTTAGTCGGACAGTAATAAACTAGACATGTGATAAGGAAAGCAAGCTACGCATACACGAAATCAAGTAAAAACAACCAAGATTATAAGCGAATGATTGACAAGGTCGAAAGACGTGTGAATACATAGGGAAAACACCATCAGTTAATTTATACAAAGTCTGGAACAGGCCATATTGGCTCGACCTATTAGTACACACTACAATACTCTCAGTTCTGAGTTAGTGAAAGCCAGGGATGTTTCACAATCCATTTCATAACGTAGCAATTGTTCACACCCTACATTCTATGAAGATTGTTTAAGATCACTGGAAGAAGATTGTGAGTGAACTTTGTGTATAGATCCATCAATCATGCCAGTCCATGTTTCGAATTGTTAGGAACTACATATGGTTAAATAAATAAGCTTACTTTGTCAAGGTAGCAGCACACTAATCATTTTACTTTCTAATATCATCATGCCAGTTCAAACGTTGTTCTGGCTGATTAAGTTTGGATGACTGAGTGTTACAGACATACTCCATAACTGATATTAAACTCCTAGTCCAGTAAATGAACACAATCAGTCAATAATCAATCAATCAATAGCAACGTAGAACTTCGTACGTATGTACATAAGTTCAGGTTGCTATACCACATTAGCACAGAGACGCAAATGTCAAACCAAATCCCATAGTGATAAATATAGTAGAGGTATTAATGGTAATGAAGAAGACTAGGGTTCGAAGATATTATTCAAGAACTATAATTCAGTGAGATAAGGTTAGAAAGACAAAAGTAGAGGTTCTGACGACTCCAGAAGATTAGGATTTCAGAGAGCTCAACGAATGGATGCACTTACGCCACTGCAAACGATTTTGAGCCATGTCGTTCAAGGTCTCTAACCACTGATGACTTTCGTCTCGCGGTCTCCAACCAGGTAGTCTACATCTACCAACATGACTCAGTCCACTTGTCAGTGACTTCATGGATTTGTACCATGTTTTGGTCTGGCCGCCTCTAGCTTTCTTCCAACCTACTCCTACACCACAAAACATAGCTCGTCGAGGCAGTCGGTGGTTAGGCATACGTAACACATGCCCCAACCACCTCAACTGATGAAGTTTCACCACTTCATCTATTGATCTGCCATCCTTACCTAGCAGCCGATTCCTAATAACAGCGTTGCTTACTCGGTTGTCCCACGATATACGAGCAATGCTTCTTAAACATCTATGATCGAATACTAGTAACCTACGAACATCTTCTATTCTTAACGGCTATGTTTTGCATCCAGATAGGAGAACGGAGCGAACCACTGCGCAGTACACTCGTCCTTTGGTTAGCGAACGCATATCACGCCTACGCTATAAGTGAAGCAGGTTGGCAAAAGCCAATCAAGCTTTCTGTATCCGTGCTGAGATTTCATCAGTCACCAGGATATCAGCGCTGATGAGACTCCCCAGATAAGTGAAGCGACTACTTCACTCCCTATCACTAGTTCAGGTGCCGATGCAACCCAGTCTTGAAGCAACATTTTGCATTTTGACGGAGAAAACCGCATCCCGAACATGCTTGCATTGTTGCTTATGGTAGTCAGAAGACTCTGCATTTTGTCAGCGTCTTCACCGAATAGAACTATGTCATCGGCATATTCCTGATCATTAAGCAACTTTCCTGATAGAAGGTCAACCCCTGAAAAATCTGACGAGCTTAATGTTAATTCTAAGAGGATTTCTACGACAAAGTTAAACAAGAATGGAGAGAGTGGACATCCATGACGGGCACCACTTGATGTAGAGAATTCAGATGACAGTTCGCCATATGCTCTCACTCGACCAGCGGTGTTCGAGTAGAGTGCTTGTATAAGGTTAATGTACTTCTTTGGTACACCTTTCAATGACAGACACTGCCACAGAACCTCACGATCCACTGAGTCAAATGCCGCTTTTATATCCAGGAGCACGACTATTGTCGACGTCTAAATGTGTGTCTGTGTCCCAGGATCTGTCGTAGTGTGAAGATGTGGTCTATACAAACACGTCCAGGTTGAAAACCAGACTGGTTTTCTCGAGTCTGCTCTTCACGAGCTCTAGTTAGACGTCTAAGTATAATCGAGGCTAACAATTTAGAAACTATATTAGTTAGACTTATTCCCCTGTGATTGTCACAGGAGGACTTTTGTCCTTTCTTGTAGATTGGGACAATTAGCGACTGAGACCGGTCAGATGGGATTACGTCCAGTTCCCAGATTCTACCTAGGATCTCGGTCAGTCTAACTGTTAAAACTGGACCACCATCCTTAAACATCTCAGGGGTAAGCCTATAAGGACCTGCTGCTCTACCTCCCCTTAGATTTCCTATAGCTTTCTCAACTTCATGTAGACTGGGAGGACTTAGATCGATTTGCCATTCAGGATGACTGCAGATCGTGGGTAACCGAAGTGTGGCTCGTGGCCAGTTGAACTGATCCCTAAAGTGTTCTGCCCATCGATCCAGTCTCCTGTATTGAGAATGGATAATAAGACCATCCTTTTCCGAGATAGTCTCACTTACATTCGGGTTCTTAATACCAGTTTCTTTGATAAGGCGGAAAAGTTGTCTACTGTTGCCGATCGCCGCTGTCTTTTCCATCGCTTTTGCTTTCGCCACCCACCACTGTTCACTGTCGTTACGTAGGCTTTTTATAAGTCTGCGTCTAAGCTGACTACACTCTTCATCATGTTCAGAGTCAGGTGGGATGCGTTTTCGAGAATCCATCAGTTCGGTGTATGCGGCTGAAATCCACGGCTTCATACTAACCTTATGGTTTACCTTCCTAGCAGATATCACTGCTGTTTCCACAGCCTTCTTGATATGATTCCAACCTGCCTCCGGATTGGAATCGCTTAAATGGTCGCCTAACTGTTTTTCTAGTTCCTCCTGAAATATTTTCTTAGCTTGATTATCATCAAGTAAAGCCCTAAGAGGCTTTCTTACGGTGTCTTTCCTACATCGAGTAAGTCTCAAACAAATACGCGCCCGCACTAGGGCATGATCTGAATCTAAACATGTGCTTCACAACGAGCGACAGTCCTCTATCGAACCCCTCCATCGGTGGCTGATGGCGATATGATCTAGTTGTGTCCAACGTTGAGACGACTTCGGGGGTCGCCAGGTCAAAAGATGTTTTTCCTTATGCTTAAAATTAGTGTTTGCTAGAGATAGGCGGTTGTCTGAGCATAGTTGCAACAGACGGTCGCCATTAACTGTTCTTTGAGCCGCGACACCATAACATCCACCTAGGTGTCTTTCATTTTCACTCAGTCTACCAACTTGAGCATTAAAGTCACCAGCCATTATTATTACATCGGAGCGCCTAGCTTTTTGGAGGAGGTCCGAAAGCTTTCTGTAAAACTCATCTTTCACATCATCTGGGCTGCAGTCAGTGGGGGCGTAGGCTGATATGACGAAGAGGCAACAACCAGTGTCCCTATGCTTTCGAATCCTTACTGTCCCGTTTAGTCGGACGGCGCACAAGCAAGTATTTACAGGGATCCAGTCAAGGAGAGATTGTTCTGCCCTACGACTCAATGATATACCTACACCAGCGAGACCCCAGGGTTAGGGTATCAGGGCTACCGGATACACGAAGGGTAAATCGAGCTGCTTCTTTATCTTGACATGGTGAGGACAAGTGAATGATGCTACTCGGATCCTGTATGTGCGTTTCCGAGAGGCAGCACACATCGATGGCGCGAGATTCTAATGCCCTAGCCAATGAAGCCTGTAGCTCTACTTGACACATTAAATTCTCCAACATGTAGTCTAGAACGGAGTTTAAGGAGACCAGGAACGACGTTTCGCGAACTTGCATTGTTTGTGTTAGCCGTGCACTGTGATAAATGAATGTGAGAAGAGTTAGTCGTGGGGATAAGAGAGGTACTAGGGGGTGTAGGAAGGATTTGATTTCAACCGATTTGGTCTCGTGTGCTGTTACGGGTATGAGGGCGGTTATCACTTCCCGGCTGCACACACCGTGGAAGGTTGTTTCTTGAGAGACCTGAAAAGGAAGATAGATTAGTGTTGGACTTGGAGACCTAGGTACGTGACCGCAGAGCCTAAGGGACAACTGCTTCAGGCCGGTCATGCACGGCCTTGTTATGAGAAGTTTTTCGAGTGTTAGCTCCGCTCTGAAAAGCCCTTAGTGGACACCCTTACCGACGGAGACGGAAATCTATGTGGCTAGGTGAGGTGTGACATTTTTAGGGTCGACCTTTTCTAACCCCTTCCTTCCTTGTGAGAAGGCAGCATCGCTGCAGATGCTGGTTGTGTGAGGGGAACGCCGTACTGCTGTCACACCCCTCTGCAGTCAACAGTACGACTTCGCCCTCAGACCTTGAGTAGCTGCTTTTAGTCTCATCGTTCTCCAATCGACCTGCCTGACATGGTAAAACCTACAGGAAGATAAGTTTCAGCCAATATAGCTCGTTTGGGTCATCACGATAGGCAAGCGCGACCACCATTTCAAGGTAGCAGCTTCGGTCGGGAGTAAATGAACTGGTTTTTGGTTATTGGATTGAAATAATTTATGTTACTTAGCACACTCACCAAAGCGTTTAACTTTCAACCAACTGTTATGACGCCTAAATCTCCCTACACCTATTTAAGTTTAAAATCAAATAAATGTCACTATTTCTAAAGCGAAATATGACCTGAGGCCTTGTAAGTGACCTTGTGTACATTTACTTCATCACATCAAGAACGGCTATAGTAACAGTTAAACAAGTTTATCACTTAAATGAATGGCAACCTCCCAAACCACTCTATCATTTTCACAATCCCAATTCAAATCAAAAGACTTATAAAATACTTGTTTAGAAGTAAATGTTTCATTTTAATGGAATTATTATAAGGGTTCATAAAGAAAGCTGAATATGAATGCATTTGATGGCAATAGAAATTGAATAGAAATTTTTATCAATCTAAATTTATTGTTAAAATGAACAATTATAAGGCGGAAAAAAAGAAGTAATAAATAAAACAGGCTGATTGGAAATAAAGTTGAATTATTAGTTACACATACACACACACAATCATTCATGCATGATGGTGAATGAGTGAATAGGTAGGTAGAAAAGCATTCAAAAATATACCAGTTCAGATGTTCTGATCTGATTAGAGAAAAGAAAAGAAGATAGAGAATAACGAAAATCAAAATATTATTCATTCTACACTTTTTTTCACACAAAATGTCATTAGGTTAAAATTTTATGTTATGGAATTATGAAAACTGAAAAAATGATTAATTAATTAATTTACCGAGTTATTATTTGAAAAAAGAAATCTTTTCTTCGAGATTCAACGACGAGAGAAAGAATAAGGAGAAATAGTCTCCATGACAAAAAGAAAAGAAAAGAACACAGTTCTGTTTTCTCAAAGACAATTTCATGTGTTTCTTTTATTTGGAAGGTCCAGCCAAAACTTTCTTGATTAATTCTGTAAACAAAAAAAGAAAAAATGAGGATGAAGATCAACAATTTCTATACGTAAATATTTAATTTACAATGCAAGTAGTGAACTAATACAGCTTTAAGGTTGACATTTGCTTTTCAAGTGAAACATTCAGTGATAACGTTTAGATGACGTTGGTTACATAATAAATTGCAGTGGACAACTTTCCACTGATTTACAATCATCTCTTAACTAACAATAATTAGCTGAGGGAAAAAATAAAGTAGTATTTTTTATTTTCAACCATGAATCGATCAATGTTAGACCACTTTTAGAAACCTGGAAGCACTGGACGGCCGTTTCGTCCTGGCATGGGACTCGTCAGCAGTGCGCATCCACGATCCCTGCACCCCGCAGGATTCGAACACAGGACCTTCGGTATTGTGCGAGAACGCCCTAACCGTTAGACCACTGAGCCGGTATCTAACGGGGTTAATGTCTAACTTGATCAAATTCACGGAGTTGCGCAACCTCATACACTGTATACATCCGAATAGGTTTGAACTTCACTGGTCACTACTTCCCACTAGAACTCGGAGAAGATCCCTCACCAAGCTAGTCACTAGTGAACACATGTAATTGCATTGCTGATGAGTCCCATACCAGGACGAAACGGCCGTCCAGTGCTTCCAGGTTTCTAATGGTGGTCTAACATTGATCGACTCATGGTTGCAAATAAAACTTAACAATCTTCACAACAACCCCGCAATGCAAAATAGTATTTGTTTTGTAAAGATAAAAATTCATATAATTACATGTAGAAACGTGCACTTAGACACTGAATGACTGCTTGATGAATATCAGGAAGTAAAACAATTATAATACATTTGCTAATGACCTAAAGATTGTGCGAATCATCTATGCACATAAAGATTGTTGGTAATCTATCTTCAATTGGAAGCTAGTATTTTCAACAACAACAACTAGATCATTCAATAAATAATGTTTATTTTTGATGACATAGATTTAAGACAAGTGTAGTTTCCAAAAATTACACTCGATTGGTTTTTCGTAACTTAACTGTATTAAACTCAGCAATTTTATGGTTTAAAACAAAATTGTTACATGATAATGATTCCAGTAACAAAAACCTTGATATCGCAGAATACTAGTAGCTCTAGACTGAATACATTAGGAATCCTGATGACGAATATATCAAAAAGATCATTTATACTTTAGGATCTAAGCTTTTTAAATATGTACTCAAAATAAACCATACTTATGATAATATCTTCAAATACTGACCTTCATATTTGATATTTCCGTCTAGATCTTCACGTAAATCAATAAATTTCACAATCGAATCAACTTCTGAATCTTCAAGACGTTCACCTAAGGAATAAATAAGTAAATACATAAATATAACTATAAAATTAAACTAACCATAACCTGTTAGAACATGTCGCATTTCAGCAGCTGAAATAAATCCTTGTCCTTCACGATCGAATGTTTTGAACGCTTCCATATAATCAGCATAAGTACCAGTCTCTTTCTCTTTAAGAATTGCTTCATAGCAAGGAAGAAACTCGTCAAATTTATATTGCTTTTCTCCTGAAATAGAGAATATAGTAAAACAAACGGTACTTCACTTATTATTAGTTTTTTTTAAAGTTGTGTTAAAAATAATTAAAACAGTTTATTAACCGACATTTGACATGTCAAAGCATAGAAAAGTAAGTTAAACTGAACTTCATCGAATAATTTCAGGCAGTAAGTACTAAATACATATATACGAATAAATAGGCGTTTTCACCTAGCAATCTTTGAATTACCAAGTCTATGAAGTGATTAACTATGATATCTTTTGACTAAAATACTGAACTTAGCATTCAATAAATTTGTTGACAAACAAAATATTCAATAGATATTCAATGATAAGTGATCACATTTTATTCCATTTTGTAATGTGAGATATATTGATATAGAGGGCATAAATAGAAGGTTGCAATGCCCACATGTATAGTACACTTTAGGAATCAAAGAAAATGTAAAACATGCTGTCATACAAAGTTTGTCATTGTGGCTTATCTTCTGTTGTTGTTTTCAATAAAATAGCTTTAGTATTTGTAGACATTTCATGTGATAAACTAAGCATTAAATTGAGGGCAGACTCTAAATGCAATCAGTCATTTATTCAGTTTGAGAGTGGTAAATCTGATCTTTACTCTCAATCCTTAGCAGAATACTTCAATTGAAGAAAAACTAATCAACGTTAATAAAAAGCATATTGTAAAATAACTAGTCTAGAACTGGGAACAACTATTTTTGGTCCCTAATACTACAATAAGCAAATAAAATTTAGCCATTTACCTTTAGACGGGATATTTGTACCATTATTTTTCATTAGGAATACTCAAGATTGACTTGGGCATCAAATGAGATAAGTTGTAATTAGAAAACTTAAGCATGTGTAAGGATTTATAAACAAAACCTCTGAATTATAGTAAAACTAAAGAAATGCAGTAGCTCTTCTTTACCTTACAATGTAGGCTGTGATTTCGTCAAGATCTACAATGAAAGCTTAGTAATGAAGCCATCTAATTCAGAAAACACAAGATTCATATATGTTACACACAACCAGCCCAGCATTTCAATATTCAGTCTCTTATTGTTGCACCAATCAGTAGTGAAGTACCAATGTTATACTCAAAACTTAATCTAGTGTGCTATAAATATCACATGTAAAAGTTAAATCATACTCTTCTAGTTTACAAGATAAAATAAACATTCATCAAATGTCCACAACATAAATCAACAAAACTCATAATAATAAAAAACATTGTGTCTAACCTTGTTTTATGGTGGCTCCATGTTTCACTGTTAGTGCAATAGTTGGATTTATTCCACTGCATCGAAGCAGATCACCAACTTTCACTGCATCAATCATACCATCTCGACCATCCCAAAAATCGAACAAGTCGAAAACTTCACGAATATCTATATTTTTCCAAATGATAAAATAACTCAATTATTATAGTGTTAGTAAATATTAATTATCTGTCTAAGATTGAAAAACTAATTGTTTTTTTTATCAATTCAATTACCTAACTGAACAAACACACTTTATAAATTTTGTTTTACTTACCTTCAATTTCAGCTTTGGATAATGAGCTCTAAAACAGAAAAAATTACAAAATGAACAGAATTTAAATTGGTTAACAATAATATTCGTAGTTAATTTTATTTTTTTTAATACTTATGTATAAAGTCATAGAATATTTATTATATAACTTACCATGATTGTTTAAGTAATAAATTGAAATACAGTAAGTAATAAAAACCTTTCAATGTATTGTGAAAATAGCTAACTGAAAACTGAATGTAATTCTAGATATGTGCGAAAAATAGAAAATCTGTCTTTCAACTAATTGATTGATTGATTTTCTACAAATTCCTGCACTATTTCATTTATTAGTTTACTGAAGAATAGTATAACTGAAGTATTATTTGGATTGGTTAGTTAGTGCTTTTATGTTCCTATATAGCTGTTGTTGAGGGGAAAAACAGGGATGGACATGTGCTATTACTTTATTTTGAAATATTCTGCCCCAGTTGTGAAAAATAACCAATCGCGTGTAAGGTGATAATTGTAGTCTTAGGTTAGTGTACAGATTTCGAATCAATAATCCACTTTTTACTAACCAATCACAGACAAGCCATAGCAGCTGTGATAAATTGTTATGCCAAAATTCTCTGGATCGTGAAACCGATTTCATAAAATGCTAAACTAGTAAACAGGAAATATTTCTTGTTAATGTATTTGTTCATCACACCACACAAAAAGTCAATCCCTTTTATGAACATTTGTGATTAAGATACTAAACAGTCTTTTGCATTCGTCATTTAACTGTGGGCGTGACCTATTGATCGATATCTATCGACAGAAGCAAAAATATTTCATTTACTATCAACAAATATCTGACTATTTACTAAGTGGTTTCCGTGACCTCTAGCTAGTTGTCTCTATCATCTGTACACTAACTTTTAAACTGAATAATACCCAAATTTAAGTTGCGATATTCCCACTAGCTTAAGTGACTTGGTATTCTGTGCAAACCAATACCACTTGGTGCCACAGTTGGAGCTTACTTACTTACGCCTGTTACCCCCAATGGAGCATAGGCCGCCCACCAGTTTTCTCCAACCAACTCTGTCCTGGGCTTCCCTCTCCAGTTCTGTCCAATGTTTGTTCATTCTTCTCATATCTTTCTCTATTTCTCGGCGTAATGTATTCTTTGGCCTTCCTCTTTTCCTTTTGCCTTGAGGGTTCCATGTGAGGGCTTGTCTCGTGACGCAGTTAGGTGCTTTCCGCAATGTGTGTCCTATCCACTTCCACCGCTTCTTCCTGACTTCGTCCTCCACTCGAATCTGGTTTGTTTTCTCCCACAGTACGTTGTTGCTGATGGTGTCTGGCCAACGAATACGAAGTATTTTGCGTAGACAACTGTTAATAAACACTTGTATCTTCTGGATGATGCCTTTCGTAGTTCGCCAAGTTTCCGCTCCATACAGTAGAACTGTCTTGACATTTGTATTGAAAATCCTGATTTTGGTTTTGATTGAAAGTTGTTTGGAGTTCCAGATATTTTTCAACTGTAGAAATGCAGCCCTTGCTTTGCCAATCCGCGCACTCACATCTGCATTGGATCCACCTTTCTCGTCGATGATGCTGCCCAGATATGTAAAGGTGTTAACGTCCTCCAAGGCATCTGCATCAAGAGTGATTTAGTTGGTGCATGTTGTGTTGCATCGGAGAATTTCGATTTTTCCTTTATGTATGTTGAGACCTACTGCTGCAGAGGCTGCTGCTACACTGGTCGTCTTCTCTTGCATTTGTTGTTGAGTGTGCGACAGAAGGGCCGGGTCATCTGCGAAGTCCAGATCGTCCGGCTTCGTCCTAGCTGTCCATTGAATACCGTGCTTCCATCACAGTTGGAGCTGTTATCACCTAACTCTTCGCGCTGAAACTGAAACTAATCTAAAAACATCCTGTTACTTGTAACTATCAGCTAAATTCATTTGCCAACTTCTGGTGAAATTCAGTATAATTTCTTATTACTTCAAGAAATATTTTCATATCCTATTTATTTTGACTGTCAGCTATCGATTAGGATTTACTGATCTAGACAAACTAAGTTAAAAAGTTCACATAACATCACATCAGATATAATCAGAACTAATAATTTGCTACTTCAAACAGATTACTATTCTGTATTATGGTTTTTGAGATATTCCTCTAAAAACAAATACCTTTGCACACAATTATCATACAATATTTCAAACGGAATATTCCACTTTTCTAGTTAAAAGAAAATGCGATAATTGCTTGGTGGTGTTCATTTACTTGATTCTCAAAAAGCGTATTTCACTTTCAAATCCCATTCCATGCATCCTGTTTTAGTGGTGGATGAATGTCCCACAATTATAACACAAACGTCGTTTTTTAAAGACAGTTGCACTACATTTCAGTTTAAATACATAACTTAAACAGCGCCTAAATATATAAATATATAAAATGTTAAATATACTTAACATAGTCAAAATATGACTACCAATCAGTAGTTTTATGTGCTTTGCACTTCACCTAACCTCATTCAAATAATAAACTGTCAAACAATCAGTGAATGTGTATAGGTTTTCTCTACACAGAATTCATAAAAAAAACTGTTTTAACGAACAATGTACAAGACGAATAAAGATCTAAGACAGAGATCCCTTATTTAGCTATCGTTCAGAGATATTTAATGTAAATTCCCAAGATCAAAGATATTTGATCGAATAAGTGATATAAATAAATTCTACTAAATTCAAGTCTCTATTGCACATCGCAACCAGATAAAATAATACCGCACCACTGAAAAATCTCAAAAGTTGGTATAAATGTCACCAACGTTTTCTCGGGTGACTGACAAAATATACTGCTACTTAAGAAAACTGATTAGATAAACAATTAATTTGTGCAATTATTTACATTAATATCAATCATGACAGCAGAATACTTAAACAAAAATAATCCACTATAATCAGTGTTGATCAATGAATGCGTATCTACGAAAATATATAAAAGACAGGGAATATAATTTACAGTTTTACCAAGTGACTGTGATCCGAGGAAAGTATTTTCGTTATTTTTATTTTTTAACCTATCACACTTGAATATTGATTAAATTGATGTCCAGTAATTCATAGAAAAATTTTATAAAAGTCAGTAAAAATAAAATAACACCAACTTATCATCGAATTTGTTTGCTGAAATTATTCTGAATTAGTTATTTTACACAGACTAATTGTTTAACAACAGCTACTTTAAGATGCATGATGAATGTAAGCTTTTTTAACTATTGAACAATCGAGTATAAGTTGGTAATCTCATGCAAATTGTTTATGCCCGTTAGTAATATCGTCCATTTGTTATAAGCAAAGTAAGTTTAACAGAGTTCCAACCCAGTATGTGACAATCAAATTTTTTATTTACTGAACCATAACTCTACTTAAACTTACATATAGAAAAGATTAATGGTTATTATGCCAGTTCATAAATTCATTCGTTCAGTTTTTGATTTTTTCCGAGAATTTTCATGAAAAATTTCAACAAATATTCTTGCCTTGATAAATCACAAATTCATTTCATAATTATTTAGGTCTAACGGACAAGTTTTTGACAAAAAACATATAGGTTAAGCAGTAACTGTTTTAATTTACTGCTGATTAGAAAGTTATTCATCTCAAATATTGATTGATGAATAGCCTCAGATTTTATTTCTATACTAGTAAGATTGGTATGTCTTCAAGTATGAATAAAGTTTAAATTCATGTTGATATTTTATAACACTACAAATTATCTCTTCCATAAATCTTGATAAAAAAGACAGAGCTTGTCAATAACGAGATTGAAAATTTTAGTGAAAAAAATTATTTTATTTTTATGTATTTCACTACATGCCTCCTAACCTTAATACTAGACATGAAAGAAAATTTGTTTACTTTTAGAATTGCAATCTTATCAAAGTTTGAAATAAATTACTTTTTATCACTGTCATTGAAGTTTGAATAATCAATCATTATTTGAAATTAAAATTGGAAGAAACTTTTAAGTTGATTTAATGTCTAAAATTATTGAATCATTGAATCTTAACAAATTAGAATTTTATAATTGTCTTGTCTATGTGACATCAATACGATACTGAAACTATAATGGGAAATCAACAATTCAACTTAAATGTCCAGCTCTTTCTTTATAAAGTTCATTTAATGATTCATGATCAATTCATTGTTAAGAAATTCAATAATATAACTTATTGTATGTATGAATTTAATTATTGGATTTCAATCATTATATTTCGGCGCCTACAATTATTTACTAGCATTTTAAGTACAATTATAATTTTTAAACTAGTATAAAGCTAATACATCACTTAAATTCATAAATTCAGACCTATTTTTTTGAAAAGAAAAAACATACCATTTTTCGTCATAATATAAAATAGAAGAAGAAAAGAAGTTTTTATCACTTCTTATTGCCTACCAAATCACTTTTTCTTAAGACACAAGAAATAGGATAATAAAAATTACACGTTCAAAAACTTTCTAAACTTAAAAATCAATAGTACACGTCGCCAGGAAGAAAGTGACATTTGCAACAAGACGTCATGTTTTAAAACATCTTTCATCTTGATAAATCTTCAAAAGTTAAATTAAAATGATTACTTCGACAGAAAAATACTTCTTGAATATCTAATCAGAATACAATAACGTCACATCACTGAAAGTTGGAGCAGTCGGTAAATACACATAGGTCTAGTAAACAATGAGAATACGTCAGTGAATCAACCAATTCAAAGAAATTTTCGACTCACAAAAATCATTTTTACAGATAAAAAATCCCTGCCGCTGACTGTAAAATATTTGCATTCAGATAAAAAGTCTAGGCGATTTCACTGCTTAAAATGGTTCACTTTTATTCAGAACAACTAAAGTTTTATGCAAAAGATGATTCACAGATAAAAGGAGGTAGCATGTTTGACTCTCTTGGGGAGGTTAGATCCCCAGAACTCACTTGATTAAGGTCCTAATTTTGGATTTCGTGTTTTCGCGCATGGGCTGATCAGCTGACCCTGAGATTATTGGATGATGTATTATTTTAGTACGCTATTTTTGTGGCTCTTCGAACGACGTTTCTATCATGTATAAAGGAACTCGATTTGTGTGCTTGTCAACCTCATATTTTCTGGGTGCTTGTTGAATACACTTTCTACGCCTTATCAAGACTTTTGATATAATTAGCAGGGCCGGGGAAAATCGAATCGGAATAGCCTATAGTGTCACTGGATCATTTGTCTTCGCTCTCGTTTACCGAGTAAGGTGAACTAGTAATAGTTTCAAGCATATCAGGACTCAATCATTAGTCACGAGAAAAAATGGGCAAGTGCTGAATGCATTAATATGTCCTCTTGAAATCTGTAAACAAACACTAAAGAAAAGTATCCGACGATACAACATGATGAATGGTTGATTCTTATACATCATAAACTAGTTTTATAAATATATTATGCCAAAATAAGTTCACACCTAAACAGAGTACAATTACTCTACTTGGGAACATTCACCCACTCTATTGTAAACAACTTTTCGGCTTATCCTATTTCACCTTCCTCTATTTGATATCGAAGAAACAAAACAGTAAAATACAAACAATATTGTTGGGAGCGCAGTTTAAGGAAGATATTGAAAACAATGTTTTCAAAGATCTCGGAGCATGGCGTAAAAATAAGGCCAACGTTTGTCCTGCTAAGCTAATACGAGATTGCTGAAAGAAATGTTGCAGCTATTTGGATTCCAAGCTCTGGAATTTTCGTATTATTTCAAATAATAATTTGGATCATTGAATTGACTACTAACTAGTAGTTAAAAAATATCAGTGAAATATTTCCCCTTTAAAAGTTTTGGGATATTTTTGCATTCTAGTTCTCGATGTCTATTTTCTGACGTAAAGACCTCATATCATTGTATACCTATCAAATAGAGAAGCCTCACAAAGGAAATTAATTCTTTTCAAAATTCCACTCAGAAAGTAATGCTTACAGTCAGGCAGATACTGTTTTAATAACATTGGTTTAGGAATACTTTTGAACAAAGTAAAATAAAACCGAAAACATCGTAAACGATAACTAATTGGTTCTGTCTGAGATTTTCTGCCAAGAATAACGTTTTAATTACCATTAATTTCACAAAAAGGTTTTCTATATCTGTCAGATAAGATTACAAGTTTTGGACAAAAATTAGAGAAAAAGGCCGAGGAAAATTATCTCGTTATTCTCCTCATAAATTCTAAGGATAATAATAATTGGCGATAACATATCACAGAAAAAGAAATGCTAGATCTGTTTAAGTACCTGGGACCAATGAGACTATTTTTGAAGCGGACAGTAACATGAAGAGCTTACCTTAGACAAAATAACACAATGTAAATTCTCGAAAATTAAAAAGGACAACCTATTTAATCAACACTTATAAATGATCGAAGTTTTGTAGGATATTATTGATGCCCTTAAATCAATTACTATGATAAGTAGACCAGCACTTAGAAAATGTAATTGAAATCGTAACCAGGTAACGTAATGATATTTGAAAGATTTGAGTACTTCGTCATCTTGAACAGCACATTGTTTTATCGATTTTCAAAAAGAATATAAGGCATACGTCTATCGAAATTGATTGTAAACATACAATGAAAATAGTCTTTTTGCAATATAAACTGAATGTTTTTTTCGAACAACGAAGGAATGGTAGCTTGTATTTATTCGATGCAGTCAATCCAGACTATAAACCAGCAGCACGGAAATGTCTTTAACGATAGCGTTCAGTTAGCTTACACGCTTTTCCATTAATCTAGAAACCTTAAAGCAGTTAACTATAAGTTGGTCATGGAGTTACAGAATGTAAGTTATGATAATTGGTTATATGTTGATCTATCATCACCAATCATGCACACTCGTAAAGACTGTTGCCTAATTATTCGATAAAATTAAATGGAACTACCAAAATATATTATTCAACTTCAGCTTAAGTGGAAAAGAGGGGATCTTTATCTAAACTCATGTACGCATGACATTTCTTTTCAGATCTTACTGTTTGGATATACCTTTTATACGCCGACATCTTGATCAATTTGTTAAACAAAACTTGATGCATTCATTTACGAGTACACGTTAAATATATAAAAACAATAGACCTGGTATCACAATTTTTATGTTTTGAATACAATTCATCAATTCAAATGCTTCAATTGATTTTCTGTGCAAAGTCGGACAGAACACATACTGAGCCAAAGACGCATAATGAGGGGAAATTGTGGGTCATCTACTGTGAACAGATACATAATCCACCAATTTAATATCATTATCCAAATATACGTCTCAGTTGATATATTGGGGATAGTAAATCCCCAAAATACAACATTTAAGAAGAAATCAACTTCTGAAGTCACAGAATAATTCAAAAATAGTTCTGTTTATCAACATCTATTGCACTTCCACTGTGTATGGATTTAATCCATATGAAGTTAGTGTCATGTTCGTCACTAGGTACGATTGAAGCTATTAAGAGTTCACCTTAGTTGATAAACACGAACGAGACAATTATCAGCGTCCAGGTAGGCTATATTGAATCCCAAACTGTAAACCAGAAGTCTCGGTAGGCGTAGAAAGTATATTCTACAACACCCAGGAATCACAAAACAGTCAGGCACACAACTCTCGTTTATTTATACATCATAGAAACGTCCTTGGGACAGTTACGAAAATAGCACACTAAAGTACACAGCAGCCAATCACAGCCATGGATTTTCCTGGTAGGAAATGAAATCTCAAGGTCAACTGATCAGCCCATGCTCGCAAACGTGAAATCCAAAATAAGGCATTTATCAAGCGAGTTCTAGGGATCTAATATCCCCAACAGTTAGTAGGGTATCAAGGGGCTTCACTGCTCAAATAACTAATTCACAGCTATCTTTTATTTAGGTGAAGACTCAAAAGCTCCTGTATTGTGTGATTAATTTAACCATTTAAAACCAATCGAAGTACATCTTAATTAATACACATAAACACCAATTTTCTTTGATCTCTTCAAGTAAATCCTTTTTCATAAGATTTGTCTTATGGAGTAGTTAGAGCTGTGAGAGAATAAAACTGTTGTATTCGGTATTGGAGTTGGCGATAGAGATATTGTTTCTATCCTGCAAATGTTTTACGCTGCAACCTATACTTTCTCTTGAATCGTGAATAAATTATTTGGCTTTTAGACATAAGGATCCTCACGCAATCTTGAGTCTCTTTCGCATGATACCTGGTTAGTCATTACAAAAGTTTAAACTCCTATTGATATGCTAGATTTTAGCTAGTTCAATATTCTGAACTCGGATATTATCCTAAATTTGAGATAATTATTCTACTATTACTACTCCCGGTGGCATTTGTACATAAAAGTTATTGGTTTATGATCAAGAAGCAAAGAACATACTTCAAAATGAATCAGATTTCATTTTGATAAGATGTAAATAATTTCCTTATCACAAACATAGAATCCTTCAACAAATATTGAATAGCATCCTATGGATTCAAACTAATTTTCTTATGCACATCTGACATCTAGATGAATAGTGAAGTTTTTTCCACAGAGCACAATACGACTTGCACCTTCAGACATCATAAGAATGATACACAGAAAAAAAAAGACTGAATAATTTATTGCATAAAGAAAATATCACAAAGAAAAATTCATTGATTATCTAATGAAATGTTTGAATGATTCTCTTCGGCAATGTTTACATACATTTCACCTGAACCGATTCCTGTAAAACAATCCTCCATAGTGAATCCTAATAGTTTACGTTGATTCATTAAAGCGCTCGCTAATGTAGAACATTGCAAAAGTTGATTGTTTGGTAAATTTTGTGACTGTGCATTTTCAGAATTTTCATGTACACTACTAGTAGATGACAATTGGTAAAAGATTTCATTTCGTTTTAGAACATTAGATTTGAAATGTCGACGTCTAGTATGATATTTTTTGAAATTTTCACATGATGAATTAATTGAAGAAGTTGAGAAAAATTCTAAAAGTTTATCATTCATGGATGCGCAATTGTTTTCATTTGTATCAAGTGAATCAGATGATGGTAGAAATGAAGTCTAAACAGTAAACAAACAGGCGATTAGATAATAACTAAGATTAGGAACAATAATTATCTTTTTTATTTATGTACTAAAATATATAAGCAGATGAAAATTCAGAAACCGGTGAGAAATATTTAAACATTAACGTAAACTTATAAACAGTCCGAATGTTGTTTTTACTATTTCATGAATATTTTAGTGTAACAGAACATGATGATCAATAGGACAAGTGAGAATAACGTGAAACAACAAAAAAAGAAACTCAGTTACAATTACCATTATTACCCAACTTATTTATCAAGTTTAATTGTAAGTACTCGATTGTGTTTTACACAACTTGTGTGGCGTTTAGCTACAGTACCCAAGGTAGATGCAGCAACTTAGTAGTCGAAATTAAAACGCACCAACTCATCCATGTGATGTTCCTAGAAACATGTAGCTACCTTGGAAAAAATAACCCTTGGATTCTACTTCTAAACTATAGAAAGCGACAGATACGTTATGAAGTTTGCAAAAGTGGTGCTCTGACCATATCGGCAGAAGAACAATGTGAATATTCACAGGTGAGTAAATCAATAATAACGACCGAAATACTTCTTGGCACCACTATTTAATTATTTGCTGTACATAAATTCTGGCGAAATAGTATAACTAAAAATCAACCATGCAGATGAAGCCATAATATTATGAAAAAATAGAGAAGGGTAGTATAACGCATACAGAAATGAATAAAAATGGTACTTAATAACATACAGCACAGTTAAAAACAGCAAAGTAAAAGTTCTCATAGTTGCAAAAGTTTATTTCATTATTATGAAGATCGTAATAAAAAATAACAGCAGGAGTGTCAATCGCTTCTACTCTGAGTTGCGATGCCTACGACTTCAACAAGGCAGCCGTGATGGATTACCATGTCCCAACCCTATACAACTATCATTCAGACCACGGTGCCACGTCACTAGTTGGCCAGCTCTCTGCTTTTTTTCAGACAGTCCCAGAGTTGATATATAATGTACAATGCGCAAGTCTCTCGGATTACATTCATTACATATGTCAAAGCCACTGAAGTTGGAGCTTCAAGATGGTGACAGCGAATGAATTATTCTCACTGTGCTCGAACATACATTGTCAATACTCCGAATTACTAACATGGTATTGCTACTGAATGTCTCCAATCCTTTGGAGACAACAACGATTGAACACAGTCACCAGGCATTTTTATTTTGGAGGAAGGCACATCCCGTAGACAAAAAAGAACCGTTCTCAAAGACACGTTGTAAACCAAACCTTTAACAGTCAGACCAATATCGAGACAGTACTGAAGATATTGCAGATTCATAAAAGCCACTCTGGCTTGCACAGAAAGAAGACGACCACTTATGCGTGAGGTGTCTTTAAAAACATGAGGAATTGCGAGCATACTACACTACAGTAGAATAGAGCAAGAAATTACAAAAGACGACATTTGCAAGTCTTACTTGAAGCTCCTTTTCAGAAGTTAGGTTGACCTTGTCAGTAGCTAGACTCGGCTTTTCGTCATCAAGACATTCAATTTTCAATCGTCGTTTCAGAGCACATTCTTCACGTTCTTGCATAATTATTCGCCGGTGAGATATTACATTTTTAAGCTCTTTCAATACAGAAACATGCATACCTGATAATGGGCTCTAAATAGAAGAGAAAATAAACGAATTTTGTGAACTGATATTCTTGCATGAGGCATCATTAATCTCACTCTAAATTTCCAACCTAATATTATCTCGTGTTTAATAGTTTTCAGTTAAATAACTTCCTTTTAACATTTTTTATGCTTAGTTTGGCGCTACCATTGGTATTACATTTCTCCATCTTTATTCTCCATCTTGCTAAATGCATGTCATCACGTTGGTAGGATGTATGGGAATGCAGATAAATGCTAAATCCCAAGTTGAATTTGCCTATCTACCTGTTTATAGCACCCTTCTGTGTCTTATTGTTACAACGGTTTGCGTGGTAACTTATCTGCCGTTTTTGTAGTAGTAGCCGGAGCCAACCAAATTATGAGATGATATTACTAGATTTAGAGTTTGGATAAACATGTTTTCTGAAAGTATAACTCAACCTTAATGGGGTTACGACTATTAAAAAATGAAGACGTCTCAAGTACTACTCAGGACTCTCAAACACTTATTTAAGGTAACTAGTTTGCATATACCTGATCTTAATTATATAATAAGCGCAATTCATCTAATGAGAACAGGTTTATGTACCAAGCCCTAAGTGATACATGAAATGAGAGGGCTACTAATACCGTGCGTATGCAAAAGACAGGGTAGAGTACGTTTCAAACTTATAATCTATTAGTTGGACATTCAGTGATTTAATCACTGAATTAAATTATTTGCACAACTAAACAGATATGATTGTAACACTTACCTTTAGAGAATCCACATCATCAACATTGTCGTATTCCGTTTCGGATTCACGACTAGAAGAGTCCCCAATGGCTATATCTTCTAATACCTAGATATCCAAAAAGCATCATACAATAAACAGAAATCTTTTATAAAATATGTTACAGTACAGAACATTAACTGATGCGATAAATTTCCGAGAGAAAATCAACGAAAAGCAATAGGTTATTTCACCTGACTAGTAGTTTTATAACGAAAGGGTCGATGAAAATTTGTTAAATTTCAAGACTATCATTACACATCGAACAATTATTGGGAACTGTTGAAAACCAAGGAGTGGTAAATGGATATAACCTTCTAGTTGACAATAAGCACTCACAAAGGTTGACAAAATTGCATAGAGGATATCGTCGCAGATATCAATGTTCAAATTGACCAAATTTCAACTATTTATCTAATCGATTGGTAATCTGTCCCTCGTCCATTGAAACTCAAGTTAACAAACACTAATAATATTATTTATTTATTTAAATACATAAATATTGGGACAAACAGACACCAAACCATATACACAACACGCAAATCATTGGATTTGTATGTCTTTGGATACCGTCCAGGTGTCCAAACCGAAACAAGTGGTTTTCTAAGAGGACTACTGCCGGAACTTTGACTTAGAGGTCAAACGCACCAGGTAATAAAGCAACGTTGGGAAATGCAGTCCCACGGTAACTAGTCTCCAAAAAAGGTTTATACGCTATTCGTTCCATCAGGATTCCAGAGACCATATGAACCATTAGTATGGAATTGAGGTTACCCAACTCCTTTAATGGAATCCTCCGTACCAACCAACTAGGTTTAATCATCGGACATTCGCTTTTTGTCGTTTAGATCTCACAAAAATACCGTGCTATAATAAGGTAGTGAGTACGACGTCTCTAACAGTAGCTGAATACACATGGCTATACGAAATTTCTCGAGGGAGAGTAGACTACCTACTGTCGGCCGTGCACTATATTAAGTACATGATTCAAAACCAAGAGCTAGATAATAGTTGTATGAATACAAATACAAGCAGTCTGTACATGGTGAAACCCGGAATAGAAAAGAATCCATAATGCTAAATAATGTCCCGTGTCTGCTCTTTTTCGTTTACTGTTCAATTACACCTTAGTTTCACTAGTCGTACACCACACATGTCTGAACTCAGTTTTCTAGTAACTGAAATTCTCTGAAACGTGAAATCAGCAAATCAAAATATAACTACAATCTTTTTTTTCCTAGTCAGTGATTACAGCGATCAGACAATCTCAAAATATCTTATAGATCATAAAAAGTACAAAACTATGAATCCAAGACTTCACTAGGAAACCTTAGGAATCATGTAACACCAAGTACCTGGTTAGTGAAAACCTTTTTGACCGTAACGACATAATACTAACCTATTGTAAATCAGTATCAGAAAAGTATTTGACTATCATATGTATATTTAGGTAAATAAGAGTAACTTTCAAACAGCTAGTAAACAGTTGAATTCCTTGACTCTGCCTTTAAAAATGACATGAATGAAGATTTGAACAAATCTTTTTTTTCATAAGCGTATTACCTTTATGTAATGTAAATAAAAATTCCACGCTACTTTTTATTTATTAAATCAAGTACTTAGCCTGAGCATAATTCCAGTGTAGGAATTCATTAACTTGGTAATTATTGAAAACTTTCAGTGAATATATGTATTTCCACTCCAACACCAACTAGATATATGAGGCAGTCATTTGATGTCACACAAATTGGTTCAAATTAATTCGTTTTCCAATCCATCAGCAAAACAAATAAAAACTAATAACAACTAATTAAATAAGGAAAAGTAAGTATGACGGAGTTTTTAAACTAAAGCCACATAAGTAGATCAGCATAATCGGTTAACGATCAGTAATGTCATACAATGTCAGTCAGATGCAACGTAGAACTTCGTATGTAAGTACATCAGTTCATGTCGCCATACCACATCAGCACAGAGATGTAATTGTCAATTCAAATCCAATAGTAGAAGAGGTAGTAAAGGTATTAGAAGTAATCGGAGAGGTTAGGATTAGAAGATATTATTCAAGAAGTATGATTTAATGAGAAAAGTTTAGAAAGTCACAACTAGAGGTGTTGAAGAACCCAGAAGATTAGGATTTGAGACATACAATGTAGTACGAGCTAAAAACTTGTTAGTGAGTACAGTTTTTGCAAATATTCAAAATCAATGAATTACATACATCATCTTCTACAATTGGATCCACCGCTTTTAAAACAGCTCTATTAGATGGAATCTCATCTCGACAATATAAAAAGTCAACATCAGTTGTCTCGAGATTTTCTTTTGGCAGATCAACATAATTTACAGTTTGAGCATTATCCAATTCATTCAAGAAGATCAAAGATGAATTCAATTGACAACGTACCAGATTAACTAAGTTGGAAAATGTTTCATTGGAAACAAATGAAATATTACAATTTTGCTCAATATAAGACTTCAAGTTGTTAGCACTGTAAAAATAAAGAATAAGTCAAATATTTGTATATATATAGGAATAAAGAAATGATACTTGGTTTTAGTTTACTTCTATCTGAGTTTAATGCAGCTTATTTTGAAATTATATAGTGATAAATATGATATTTGAAGTGGAAAATAAATCAATACACCATGGAAGTGCAATGGATGTTGATAAACAGAACTATTTTTGAATTAGTCTGTGACTTCAGAAGTTGATTTCTTCTTACATGTTGTATTTTGGGGATTCACCATCCCCAACATATCAACTGAGACGTATATTTGGATAATGATATTAAGTTGGTGGATTATCCATCTGTTCGAAGTAGATGACCCACAATTTCCTCTCATTATGAGTCTTTGGCTCAGTATGTGTTCTGTCCGACTTTGCACAGAAAATCAATTAAAGCATTTGAATTGATGAATTGTATTCATAATAATAATAATAATAATAATAATAATAATAATAATAATAATAATAAAGGACAATTGATAGAGTGAACTATAAAACGTAGTGATATCCTAATGGAGAAAAACGGTACATGAGCACAAGAACACAGGTTTCTGATATCCAGTCAACTAGCTTCAAATATTCAACAATAATTTCTTGTTGAACAACTCAAAGAAATATGGAAAACAGACACAGGATAAAAAAATTACCCTTTACTTAAAAATAAAGACTTGACGAATCAATATGATAAAACTCCTTGTTTTCGTATGACGGATGATAACAATGAACTGTCTGTCCAAATCGAAGTAGAGTTAGCTAGATTCAAACATTTAGTCTAATGATTGATGGTTAAGTGCTTTAATAACTAAATAATACCTTCATTGTAATAACATATTCAAATAAAAAACAATAAGATAGGAAGTCATTCAGTCATAGGTAACGTAGTATCTAAACTTTATATCGAAATACGTAACAGAAATGGAAAATAATATACGATTCACCAAAAAAGTGAAGTACAAAATCTACATGAATAACACTATAACCATTATAATACACAAAGACGTAGAATGAACAACTCACTGTTCTACAGAAACAAGAAGATGTAATAACAGTTCGTGAGTTATTCGAGCCTCTGGTCGTTTATGGAGATTTTTGCCTTCATTTTCTCCAGATACACAATTTTTACCAATTTGATCGTTATTACTGATGAATTTGCCATTTAAAATCATTGTATGCAAATCATTCACTTTGATGAATTCATTTTTTATTTTATTCAAAAAATAATCCCATTTACAAACTGATTTAGTTAATTGTACTAAAAAAAAAAAAAAATAACACTGGAAAGTCCTATATGATGATGCAACTCATATATATCAAACATAGATTTGTGTACTCAGTTACATTGAATAGTTAATTTACTAAAAGACTTAATTATCAATTAAAGGTTTGTATTCTGATTTTTGATATAATACCTACCTTCAGGTGGAAGAATGGATGAATTCGTATTTGAACAGTACTTATAAAAACCTATTATATGCTTTTTTTTAAAAAGGTACGTTTAGGACTAGCATTCATTTGTAGTCAGAAAGCTGTCATAATCAAAATTAATTTGAATGTCTATAAAGACACCATAGTAACTACGTTGTATACCTCATTGATGAATAATGCTTTATCTCACAATATAAGTCAAGTAGCACAGAAACTCCTCATATTACAACATCTGGACTTTTTAAATCTTAAGAACCATGTATAGCTAACATAAGAATTGTTCATAAGATCTCAGCACATCAGAAGATCAATAAATGGTAAACGATAGGTTTATATTTCAGAAGAACTAAACTGATTCAACTACTTAGTCCCCTACAAATTGCATGATGTACGCTGGATCAATATTCAATGTGTGCATAATAAAACAAAACCTCGAATTTCAATCATCCAATAAAATATAAACAGAAGCTGAAATTATTTCGTTACTAAGCGTTTTATACAGAACTGCAAATAAATACATGCAAATGATAAACATACATAGATGGAAAGTATCGTGTCTTGATTGACAAATCACTGAGGATAATTTGATCAAAAGATCAGAAGTTAAGATTTTCAACAGTTCACAAAACATCTAAAGGTAAAAACAAATTAAAAATTTATTGTAAAAAGAAACAAACTTTTAAATTTTCAATGTTTGGATCTGCAGGTTTTTCTTCTATATCACATTTTAATTGAATAAGTTCTGAACTTGACATCTCCAATGGTAGAAACGAATTATTTTCATCAATTAAGTCTATGAAAACAAAATCATACAGTGCAATGATAATTACAACATAGTCTAACTTACTTTCCAATTTTACAGAAAAGTCAATCAATGCTAAAAGGTAGTTGTGCATAAAGTTGTATAGTTGATGGTATATCAGTGGGAAAAGTTTGAACGTATTTTTATCTACAATTCTATATTAGGTTACCGGTAATTTAATAATGCTTACTTGGGACCGAAATAACGACGGGTATTCAGATCTTGTAAGAAAAGAACAATAAGATGTGATCCTTGAGAGAATTTTTTCATTTGTTTCAATGCGTCTGCAAGATGGTGTTTAGATGCAATCAAGAAAAGCACAGTAGGCATCCGTAAACATAAAATAACCAGCAATAATATGATAGTCATGTACGTAGAGTAACTTAATCCGAATCCAAAAATAATGAGAAATATGACAAAATAATATCTAGAGATGACTAATTAGAATATGTTAATTTTAATTACTACCTTGTGTGAACTTGCTCTTTATTTTCCACTGAGCATATGTATTCAACTACCGGTTTATTCTCAACAGTAATTAGGTCACTGGACTGTATTACGCTAATTATCTGATGCAAAAATTGTCTTGTAATCTGACAAATACAAACTAATGACAATAACTCACCAGTGAATCGAATAAAAGATGGAATTTAAGAGCAAAAGGATTTATGCATTTTAAATATGATGAAATTTGGGAAAACTTTTTCACCGGAGAAGTCGTAATAGTATTAGATGTTTTAGAGATTTCGCAAGAAACAATATCAGGAATTCCGATTTCTCGAAAGTATTGCTTTAATGGATGATTCTAAGAGAAAATAACTTCAAATTTATTTTACTTCTGGTAAGTAAGTATCCTCTTCTTCCATGTTTAATCAAGATTTTGTAGATTTTTATAAACATGGAAAATCACAAAAACAACCGCTGTTCGACGTAGTAGGTGTAATCGAAGTATTTGCGTGCATTGATCTGTGAAAAAAACAAAAATATGTACACGTAATATTTGACACTTAATTAGTGAGTAACTTGATAAACAGAAACTATGATGAACCTAAACCAACGCTTTTAACAACTTCAGGTGTTATGATGGGAAGCAATGTCAGTCCAAGTGAAAGACAGTTATGACCGAGGGCAACTGAAGTGCCAAAGTATGAAGTGGCCAGAGAATGAGCAAATGATACTGCATTCACCGCAAGTGACAAAAAATACAGTCAATTGAACATTGGTCAATTTCGAGCTCTAATAACTAAATTTCTAATTACATGCATTTTTTATCTCATAAATTTCAGTCCAGAAATACTTCATTTTAGTATATAAACAGTTTTGCAGGAACCTAAAATAATAATTTTCCAAACCCACTACGTGCCTTTTGAATAAATTCGAAATATTAAATTGTTCATTTTACTCAGAAAGTCATAACGCACAAGGGTAATTACACTAACGGTTGACGTTAACGCATAAACAGGAAGTCTGAACAGAGAAAGAAGTTGTGGTTGAGATATCTTCAGAATCTTGTACTCAGACCAGTGAGAGTAACCGTTTCACGTAACTCAGTTTCGACGATTCTTTCTTGATTGATGCCATTAGAACAAAGTTCCACTTAGCGTTCGTAAGATTAAAAGTAGGACTAAGATAAGCTTTCGTAATTAATTAATTTATACAAACTGTTATATGACACAAGAAATAAGAATGTAAATACGTTTTGCTAACCGTTAAATTAATGATAAGTAACTGGTAAGGCGCGTAAAATAGGATCACATATTCACATTACAACAGGTCCTAGAACATACTATTGTTTTCTTATTGGACCTTAAAGCGACACTTGAATCTGTGGATCGTGAACTTCTATGACAATGTGTCTGCCACTGCAAGGTGTACCAAAGAAGTACGTCAACCTTATACAAGCTCTCTACTCTAAAACTACTGGTCGGGTGAGAGCTCATGGCGAACTGTCATCGGAATTCTTCAATTCAAGTGGTGTCCGGCAGGGATGTCAACTTTCCCCATTTTTGTTTAATTTTGTCATAGCCATGCTCCTTGATATAACCTTATCCTCGTCCGACTCTTCAGGAGTCAACTTTCTACCAGGACAATCGCTTACTGACCTAGAATATGCCGATGACATAGTTCTACTTCCTGAAGACGCTGACAAAATGCAGAGTCTTCTGGCTATCCTAAGAAACAATCCAAGCATGTTCGGGATGCGGTTCTCACCCTCGAAATGCAAAATGTTGCTTCAAGAATGGGTTGCATCGGCACCTGAACTAGTTATAGGGAGTGAAGTAGTCGAACGTGTAGACCGCTTCACGTATCTGGGGCGTCTCATCAGTGCTGATGGCCTGGTGACCGACGAAATCTCAGCTCGGATACAGAAAGCTCGATTGGCTTTTGTCAACCTGCGTCATCCATGGCGCAGGCGAGATATCCGCTTGCTAACAAAAGGATGAGTGTACTGTGCAACAGTTCGCTCCGTCCTACTGTACGGATGCGAAACATGGCCGTTAAGAGTAGAGGACTTCTGTCGGTTACTAGTATTCGATCATCGATGTCTCCGAAGCATTGCTCGCGTATCATGGGAAAACCGTATAAGCAATGCTGTCGTTAGGAAACGAGTTCTAAGTAAGGATGGCAGATCAATAGATGAAGTATTGAAACTTCATCAGTTGAGATGGTTGGGACATGTGTTACGTATGTCCAACCACCGACTGCCGTGATGAGCTATGTTTTGCAGTGTAGGAGTAGATTGGAAGAAAGCTAGGGGCGGCCAAACCAAAACATGGCACAAATCCATGAAGTCATTGACAAGTGGACTGAGTCATGTTGGTAACTGTCGACTACCTGGTTGGGATCCGCAAGATGTTAGTAATCGATGGTTAGAGATCTTGAACGACATGGCTCGAAACCGTTTGGAGTGGCGCAGGTGCATCCACCCTTTGTGTTCTATGAAATTCTAAGCTTCTGCATTCCTCAGAATCTATATTTTTCTCCTTCTAAATTTATCTCACTGAATTATACTTTTCGAATCATATCTTTTCTCCCTAATCTTTTTCATTACTGCTTATACTTCTACGACCGCTATCACTCTTTTATTTGAACTGACAGTTGCGTCTCTGTGCTGATGTGGTATGGCAACCTGAATTAATGTACTTACGTACGAAGTTCTGCGTTGTATCTGTCTGTTTCTGTCTGTCTATAAGATTTGAATTGACAATTATATCTCTGTGTTAATGTGGTACGTACGAAATTCTACGTTGCTATTGACTGATTGATCGAATTGGTGACTTTAAAGAATGTGGGCAGTGTTAATCACACTAGCGCATGCTGAAAAAAGAGCCAATGTAAGGGAAATTCTGCTAACACCCAAGGTGACGAGATGTAATAAATCCAGAACAACCGCCTTTACGGTTGACTGAGCACCGGAACAACTTTGTGTTACTGATGAAAAGTTCGCGTTCGCCTCATTTGTTGTGTTTGTTCCAGAATTGTAAGGAATTGCAGTAAGCTCATTGTATATGAGTGCAGCCTGTCATTGAAGATTTCCAACTCTCGGCTGAAAAATAAGTTACATCAAACAGCCCATAAGCTTAGCTGTGAAAACGGAAGCAGTTTGGTGCTAATTAACTGGTCATATTTTGACACTGAGTAATAAATCCGGTTAGTCGACAAACCAGTACATATATTCACAATTACTGGCTGACAGAAAGATTCCACTGAACCAATTTCCTGCAACGATTTACAATCTTAATCAGGAAAACTAAAGTCAATTGAGTGGAAGACGCACACAGACAGGTGGAGCGTCACTAAGGTGATACTATAGATATGAGTGTGCAAGCAGGTCGAATATGATATTCAACGAAACGATATGCGAGATAACTGTTGCAATATAATTCGTGAACAGATTCCTTTACTACCTTTGGATTTTTTACGGCCTGAAGACTAAAATACACGTTCGGTCTTTTACAGGGCGAAAGGTTGTTTTGGATTAAGAACATCGTCAATGTGACCCTAACTACCAGGTGGCTTTCCGATAATCACCATAGTATTTTCATCGAACGTTATCAGGTGACTTAAAAATTATGGTCACATTGTGCAAACTTATTAAACTTTGAAGGCGAACATGTAAATGAAATAAAAACCCCCCAATCTCTCAACGTTTGTAAATGACTGGGTCTCTCCTTAGCCATATTTACCGGTAAACTTCACCAGCGCTCCGTAATTTATACTAGAGAGAGATGCCAAGGGATTCATTCAAAGCGCTTTAAGTTGTATTCCTAAATACAATATTATGGTTATCGACCTGTAAATACGAAGAACAAATGGTCCATGTAGGTAGACTCACCTACTGATTTTTAAGGACAATATTTTTTGGTCATTTCAAACAACCAGTTGTGTTAGAAAAAACCCCGAATAACCTAGGCAATGTTTACTTAAGTAACCTGTAAGCTTGGCTCTACAATGCGACGGTACAAACAGGAATCACAGAAGCCGGAAAATAATTGTGAGATTAAAAATATTTGACCGAGCGCAGGGTTGAAAACTTCTTTAACAAGAACTTCAACCTAACATTGTACTCACTGAAACACACTAACCACCTCTTTATTCAACACGTTACGCTGAGCTCGAATATACCACTTGTTAAGGTCATTCAATATCCAATACCCTTTTCACCTATTAGTATAAACCAACTGATTTCTTTGCTCTTGTTCTTTCGGTACGGTTCCATGTGTTTGATAGAGTTCAACAGATGGTGGTGTAGCCACCCGACTGCAGTATTTCTAATCTGTTAGCAGTTGTTCGTGAGTTTGCGTGTCCCGTAATTGTCATGAGTACATTCGTTTAAGGGGCCGTCGAATTTCTGGATACAAAAAGCTAGCACATTACCAGAACGGAGATCAGTTATTTACAATGTGAATAATAACAAGGGAAAAATTCTAATGCTAATAAGAATAAGACTTCAGGAATAAGTAAATGAATAGGTAATTTGTTTATTTATTGGTAGTGACGATTATGAGAGGGGACCGGAGTGTAAGCAAGTAAGAGGAAACAGTGATAACAGTGGAGATCGATTAAGTTAGAGATATGAGAAAGTGACTACAGTAACAAATAGACGCTTTCGAAACATTTTTAGTGAGATGATATATATTCTACTTCGCGAGATCACTAAGTTAAATCCCGATAGATGTAGAAATGAGAGTGCAAATAATTTCTGGAAGAAAAATATTTGTCCGAGGCCTCTTGATAGCGAAACAATATCGAGACCGGAATAAAGAAGCCGCTAACAACAACCGAGGAGAGAAGCTGAATGGGAATGACACTCTTGACACGCGAGAGATAGTCTTTAGTACAGATAAACAAAAAGAGTACAATATAACAATTATTGTGAGAAGTATGTACAGTAATAAATGCTTATATTTTAGCAATTGTGTCGTCTTCATAAAAGTATGCCACTACACATTCATCAGACACAGCTATTTCACGAGGGAGAATATAATACGTATGTGAATACGTATCATGTTGGGACGGTTTGGAGTGCTTATTGTTGCACGCCACAATCGGATCATCTATGATTCCACTGTAGTTCAGTGGGAACGATCCTAAATGTTGGAGTCTATCTTCTTAGGTTTTTTCTGCAACCTTATCACCCATTTCATTTCTCGTCTCTGCACTCGATCCAGGAGATTTTTGTCTCTTCCATGCAGAGGGGGTGCGACGGCGTTGTGAACTTCGAAATGTCGGCGCACGAATGTCTTAAACAACGTTAAGAATAATTCAGGGGTGACAGCACCAAGTTGTCTTCGCATAAAGTGAAGAGTGGCATTTGCCTCAGCTGCGTTACCTAAATAGGTCAGGCTTGCGTGGAGGCTTTCTGTGGTTATTAATCCGAGATCGCTCTCTGAGGAGACATTATGGAGCAGATTTCCATTCAGGGTGTAAGTGTGTCATGTGTGACAGAATGTACATGACGTGACACTTTGGTAGGTTTAGTTTTAAACCGTTTCTCACTGCCTATTCCTAAATGGATGTAAGGTCCTTTTGAAGCTCAGTCGAATCCTTTTAGCTTCTAATAGACCTCCAGTTCTTTGCATCGTCTGCATAGATCAACGCTGCTGAGCTATGTCTAAAAGATGATGATGAGCTTCATGGAATATATTATCCTTATCCATTTAATCCCTCATCTGTTTATTCACCAGGCTTTGCATTACCTTTCATAGTATTAGTAGTAATGCGACTGGTCTGTAACAGGCCGGGTCCTTCCTATCTCCTCCTTTCAAGATTGGAGAGAGTAGCTTGTTTACATTCAGCTGGGAGTTGGTGTGACGCTACTGAATGTCTGAAAAAGTCACATGTCGGTGAAGAGAGGGTTTCTGCACATTGTTCCAAGACTATATGGCTAATACTGTGACAACCTGGTGACTTTTCTGGGCGTAAGAATTTTAGTTTCCTCAGCACTAAGTCAAGAGTAATACGGATAATCCCTCAGCCATCAGCTGGCATCAGGTTTGCGAAGTACTCTGAACATGTGGATGCCTGGTTTAACTGCTCAGTGAAGTTTGTGTCGAAATCCTCAGAAACCTCTAGGTTGGTGGGGCCGTCCCTATTTGGACCTTTGAGAGAACACACACCCTGATCCGTCGTTTTTCGTTTAGCCGTTTAGGGTTTATAGTTGGACAGCTAGCTTCATCTGAAAGCATCTCCTATCGCTTCGAACCTTGGTAATGCATCTGTTTCTCAATGCCAAATGAGAACTACTGTCAAAATCCTTCAGGGAGACCTTTCACTTGTGCCAGGCTCTCCTTTTCGCCTGTAGCAAGCGTTCAATTCCGCGCCTAACCCATGTTCTTCTATTTCCGGGTGTGTGGTGTGACTGAGGCAAATTGCTAAGGACAGAATTCTGGATTATGTCTCTCGCTATTTGCCAGTGACCATCTACTGTCAGCCTCCACCATGGCGAGGGAGCATGTAGGAGGATCTCTCTCATACGCATTTAATTTGCCCTAGTGAAACAAAGATAGGTCTCATTTTTGTCCTGTGCCATGGTCGCTACTTCCTTTCGGTGTATGGACGTGAACATCCTCCACTAGGAGCTGATCATTTGTTAACAAATAGTCCAGGTTTGAGGACTTTTCTTCCTTAGTCCATCTAATGGCACCGCATACGTGGTCGGCAAGCCCAGAGCTGTATGAAAACAAGACCAACATGATTCTGTCATCTCAGTTAGCGGGGTGTCGTATAGCCGCTCGGCTTTTAAGTGGCTGTTTATATATATAGCCACTTCGCCTCCTGTTTGATGCACCATATAGCTTCGGAAGAGTGTCATGCCATGCAAGCCCACTTAGTCGTCTGTAATGTTAAGGAATTATGATCTCCAGATCCATCCAAGAGCACATATACCTGATTTCTAACATCCTACCCCTTAGTCCTATTACGTTACTATAGAGGATATTGGACACCAGTAGCTATTGCTGTTGCAATATGGAGAATGAAAAGAAAAAAATTGTAATGCTAATGTGATTTCAGAACTTGATAAATAGTTCAATTACTTATTATGAAGAACTGTTACCAATTCTTCTCCCAAAGTTTAACATCGTTATTGCAATGTAATACCTCGGACAGAACTTGTTGGTGAGTCATCGATATAAATTAAGAGAAAAGGCATGTCTAATATTGAACCCTGAGGGACTGTAATAGGACACTCTCTGGTCTGAGGAAAATTATTGGCGTTGTTGTTAGTGAAAAGTCAACTATTTAGTCAGTCTATAAAAGGTGGCATGATACTTAACAGTCTCAGCTTATTAATGATACATATACGACTGACCCTATCAGAAAATTTGTCATACAACAGTGCCGATTCCCAAAGCCATATACCTTAGAAAAGCCTTTTATGGATAATAAATAGTCACACAGATCGTCACGTACCAGGAAATCCATAACTTTAGGAGGTATTGTGAAATGCACTACCGGCCGGTAGCTTGAAGATTCATTGCGCGGACCACCTTAGAAAATTAGCGTGAGTGCACCAGCTTCGAAACGTTTGGGACCGTACTCTCTCTTAGAAAATTTGAGAGCATCACAGCTTGTTCTATTTCCAAGACTGAATAAGCTTCTTTCAGTTTAGCAGCGTGAGACATCCTCCAGCCAGGAGAATATCGTTGTTTAGATCATTCAGTTTTGATAAGCAACTTCTGACATTCCTCTTAGGTTGCAGACGAAGCTCTCATTATTGAGGGTTGAAATGCTTAAAGATACTGTTCAGCCAGAAGCTATGTAACATCGTCACCTTTGGTTGGGCCATTAGGACCTAAAATCTGAGAAGCACTGGATACGACTTGTCGGAGTGGCTGTATGAGGAAATAAGCTATTCGGCTTGGAGACAAACCCGTCTATAAGCGTGATTTGGTATTGAAGCTTCTCTTCTCCTAACCTATTCATACACTGGGTCTTTGCTGGTTCAAACTATTGATATGTTCTCTCGTCGCCATTTTGCTTATATTCTCCCCGTTAGCATCTTTAAAGTTCAGCAGATAAAAATTGCCTTCACTTTTGTTTTTCTACAGGGGATTCAGGATTACAGGGTTGTCAATCAGGAATTACTAATTCATGAAGACTCAGTTCGATAGTAATGTCACGTGAATGTTTTCTGACCAAGTTACTAACTTCACATTTTCAAATCACCTAAATTATTCAGTGAGGTTATAGAATCAAGCTTCAGTAAGGTTACTAGCTTCATTGTATGTGTGGTCAGTAAGGTTTATTTTGGGAAGGTAAAAGTCGTCTGAAATTAGGATATGAGTGCGACCTAGACCAATTGACTATGATAATTCCTCAAACATACGGTTGTCTTACTCAACGCCAGCGATAGGCTTTCTGTAGATGACTCTAACCAAACATTTTGATGTTTTGAGCAATCTCAAAAGGCACCGCACAAATTCAAAATGAGCCCTTTAGTGTAAATTTGATGTGCTACCAAGCAGCATAACAGCTAAAAGACTTTCCAAGATCAAGTAACAGTTTTCTATTTCGCTGGAGTAGAGACATACTGAGTGTTGACAGATCCTAGTTCATGTTCGAGGGAGATACTTATAATCTAGATATTCCTATCATATGGGTATTGTTGCGATAGTTGGCTCACAAAGCTGATCCGTTTCGTTCGTTAAATTAGCAACTTTCGTGTGTAGGCAGTTGCTGCTCTCAATTGGAAATGCATGAGAATCCTCTAGTTTCATGTATGGATGAACCTCGTGTTAATGTAAATGACTACTAGGACATAGCCTACATCTGCATTGCGAAGGGGATTTGGATGGTTTTCGTGCTTCGTATTCTTTCCGCCGGTTAGCAGTGTAGCCGTAGGTGGTTTAGGTTCGGGAAGTTCAGTACTTCTGTTTAACTCTTCCCAGAGCATCATGTTGTTTTTTCCTGCAAACTAAAAAGAAGGTCAGAAAGTTATTTAAGATCCATGATGACTAAGTAATAGTCTCGAACACGGACTGAATTCAAAGATTTGGATCCTCTTAACTAGATCATTAGCTTTAGATCCAAGGTTCCTAAACATTTTACCAACTCGTTCAACAGTTTTAGGATTATACTAAAAAGCCGATCCATTAACTGACTTTCTCCCAAGACCTTGGTCTCTGAGCAACTAATGTGGTAGCAAATGATTCTTTTTGCCCATTTTGATGATATTTCACCTGTCTTTGGTGTACGTTTTGCGGACCAAATTAGCTTACAGAGAGGCGATAACGAAGAAGTCAAGTTTGCTGAGAGTTTAACATTGTCGATGTTATAGCATTACTGAGTTTCGGTACGTTCCCTCTGGAGTGGGCGTTTAGTTCATCGATATTGATGTTATCATAGACCCTTATCTTTCCCTAAATGTTTTGTTTGCCCCTTTACTACAAGAAATTGTTTTCCAGATTTGTGAAGAACTTCCGAAAACATGTTCTAATAACTTCCCACGAGTTCTTCAAAAGGAAGGTTGAGACATTATTAGGGAATCGGGATAATGTATCGCACTAACTTATTAATCCTTTTTTTCTGTTTGTCAGATATACCTAGGTTCCTACTTGGGGGCATCGGTGATACACTGCTACTACATATGGAAGCACGTTGAGTGAGAGCTCATTTTACTCTGTCCACAAACAGTTGGACCAGTCACTGACCGCGGGAAAGTACAATAATTTACGCTACTAATGTCCTTCAAAGAAAGAGATTTACTTTACCGTCTGATCATAAGGTACATTTACTTTCGAACTACACTTACTTCAGTCAACTTTTTTATGATGGTTTTCAGACTATGGCTGTTAATTTGGTTAATTTAGTAAGTCCTTCAATGGCATGTGGTCCATCTAATCGCTTATTTCGTCTTGTAAAACTTGGTCTTTCTGCTTCTGAAGGTAAGATAATTTAATTCATATGTTTTTCCATGAATCAATTTAGTTTAGTTTTGTACCCACTTTCAGCATATGCAGGGTCTATTCATAATATTTCTTTGTGTATATAAACGGCTGTCTTCAGTAATAAGAATAGTAGGTCGATTAACATCCGTTAATCCTTACTATACAGTTTTCCCTAAAGAAGTTCATTGATGAAGCTAATTCTACCTGTTCAGAGTACCTGTTCCTAGAACTCATTTCTGATCAAATCTTTGGTAACCTTGAGGCTAGCTGACCTATTTAGCAGCTGGACCAATTTCACCAGGTATCTACTGGATGCCTTCACTTAAGATCTATTTGAAGTAACTTTTTTACCGCATTTGATAAGTAATTTTTCGTATATTATCATAAAACTAAAGGGGTAGATTATTCAGTACCTTAGTGACTCAATAGCCTGGTCTGGTTGCATCTTACAAATACCTAAATACTTTCAACATTAAACCTCACATAGGAAACCCCAGTCTTCAAACTTCCGTCTGAAGCGAATTTCGCGTTTTTAGGTCTTACCTACTAAATATTTCAGCCAACTAAACCTATACTCCGTCAGTAGCATAATGATTCTCACGGCCGCAATTTGGTCGGTATATAATCATACAGTCTATTGATTTTAAAGTTGGTTACCCATCATGTCGCCCATCTAGGCCAGCAATACTCAGTTAAAAACTATTTGACATGGACAGGAATATGATTCCTTTGCATTTATTATGATCCCTCTTCTTTGGTACCCTGTCGAAGTGCCCTTGTGACTTTTCTTGGTAATTGTTTTCCTTCTAGATCGTTCACAGGAAGATGTAGAACATCCTTTTAGTTTCCTCCAGTGCTCTAGTTGATGCTGAGGTTGGTGTGCCGTTTTGTCCTGTCGCTTTGTTATGCTTCGTTTGTTTGATGGCTCCAGTAATTCCTGTCGTTGATGCAGTATCATCGAGGCACCTTTGTGCCCACTGATTTCAGTGGAGCTCGTTTATTCGAAAACTCTTTAAGGTGCCATACTTATCTGTCTCAGTGCTATTGATCCTCAGTTATTAGTTTCCCTAATTTTTTCCAGACTGTTCGCTCTAATCTACTACGTATATCCCCACAAGCTTCTTGGTTGCATCATATACTCCTCTCATATCTTCTTCTGCAACTCATTGCACTGGAGCTGCTTGATTGGTTGCGTATTTCCGTTTATCAGCTTCAATGCTCTTCACTTAAACACTAGCTTCCTATTCTGTTGTTTGGCTGTTCTCGTCTGCTGCCCTTATTCCCTTTCATGAATCTTATCCGAGCTATTTATTGAAATCCATTATGTATCCTAGTGCTTCTAGGGCTCAGCACCTCTTGAATTGCTTCTTCAATCGCTTCTCAGTTGCGCTCGATAGCAATTTCATCTGGCAGGACTTGATAGCTGTTGCTAAGGCCTATCTTCAACTCGGCTTCTTATCATAGCTTGTAAACTACTAGCTTTGGTTCGTAAAATTATCTACATATATTGTCTGAAAATTATATTCTAATCACATAATTTGCCTCATGTAAATTGTTTCTATTGCTTCAGATGACCATGAAAAATCGGGCGTTATCGAAGGCGAAAGTATTGCTCCAGGCACAGGGATCGATCTGGAGGTCGAAAGTGAAAGTAAGTTTCACTTCCTAGAGTTCATTTTTGTGAGTCGACTGCATCTCTTATTAAGCTGTTACTCAACAAATGCCCTTCCAGTTGTTGTGCAAATTAATTTCCAGATTGTACTTTTTAGAAAAAAATTAAATTCCATCAAGAAACTGAGGCGTTCTAACATTAATATCTACCTCCTAGCATTTAAAACTGAGCCGGAATTAATTCTTCATTCAAAAAATACCACATTTGGTCGTGAAAAAACAATTTCCATTACTGCTAATACTTCTACTACCTCTACTGCTATGAAATTCGAATTGAAAAATTGCATCTCTATTCTAATGTGGTATGAAAACCTGAACTGATCTACGTACGTACTAAGTTTTACGTTGTAGCTGTATGACCGGTACGAAAAAACATACAGGTTTTTGAATTCTAGACCTATAGTCGACACTTGGCTGAAAATTCTAAAATTTGAGTAACAAATGTTTTCTAATATGTCTAGTTCTTTATATTAATGTAACAAAAATACAACGGTCATCTGTAGTTCAAGTATTGGAACTTCTTCAGTCATTCAGCTAAAACGTAGAAATTCGTACGTACGTATGTACGTACATCAGTTAAAGTTGCCATACCACATTAGCACAGAGACACAATCGCCAATTCAAATCCCATAATAGTAGAGGTAGCAGAAGTATTAATGGTAATCAAAAAGATTAGGAATTGAAAATATCATTCGAAAAATATATCTCAGTGAAACAAATTTAAAAAGAGAAAGAACACCGTCATGAGAAACTCAAAGTATTATAATTTAAGAGGACACAGAGATTGAATGCACTTGCGTCACTCCAAACGGTTTCGAGCCATATCATTCAAGATATCTAACCATCGATTACTAACATCTCGCGGATTCCAACCAGATAGTCGACAGTTACCAAAATGATTCAGTCCACTTGTCAATGACTTCATGGATTTGTGCCATGTTTTGGTTTGGCCGCCCCTAGCTTTCTTCCAGCCTACCCCTACATCGCAAAACATCTCTCTTTGAGGCATTCGGTGGCCGGGCATACGTAAAACATGTCCCAACCACCTCAGCTGATGAAGATTCACTACTTCATCAATTGGTTTGCCATCGTTGCTTAGTACTCATTTTCTAACAACAGCATTGGTGTCCGACAATAGTTGTATTCCTTGATGTGAAAGCGGCATTTTACTCTGTCGATCGTGAGGTTCTATGACAGTGTTTGTTATTGAAAGGTGTACCAGAGAAGTACGTTAACCCTGTACAAGCTCTGTACTGGAATACTGCTGGTTGAGTTAGAGCTTATGGTAAACTGTCATCGGAATTGATTACTTCAAGTAGTGTCCCTCAGGAATGTCCACTTTCTCCATTCTTGTTTAATTTTGTCATAGACTTGCTTCTAGATGTAACATTATCTTTTGACTTTTCAGGAGTGAACCTTCTATTAGGAGACACGCCTATTGACTTTAGGTATGCCGATGACATAATTCTGCTTGGCGAAGACGCTGACAAAGTGCAGTTTTCTGACTACCCTGAACAACAATGCAAGTATGTTCGGGATGCGGTTTTCCCCCTCGAAATGCAAAATGTTGCTTCAAGACTGGGTTGTATCGGCACCTGAACTAGTTATAGGTAGTGAAGTAGTTGAGTGTGTTGGCCGTTTCACGTATCTGAAGGAGTCTCATCAGAGCTGATGGCATGGTGACTGACAAAATCTCAGCACGGATACAGAAGGCTTGATTGGCTTTTGCCAACCTGCGTCATCCATGGCGCAGGCGAGATATCCGCTTGCTAACAAAAGGACGAGTGTACTGTGCAGCAGTTCTCCGTCCTACTATACGGATGCGAAACACGGCCGTTAAGAGTAGAGGACTTCTGTTGGTTACTAGTATTCGATCATCGATGTCTCCGAAGCATTGCTCGCGTATCATGGGACAACTGTATAAGCAATGCTGTCTTTAGGAAACGAGTTCTAGGTAGGGATGGCAAACCAATTAATGAAGTAGTGAATCTTCATCAGCTGAGGTGGTTGGGACATGTTTTACGTATGCCCGGCCACCGAATGCCTCAAAGAGAGATGTTTTGCGATGTAGGGGTAGGCTGGAAGAAAGCTAGGGGCGGCCAAAACAAAACATGGCAGAAATCCATGAAGTCACTGACAAGTGGACTGAATCATTTTGGTAACTGTCGACTATCTGGTTGGAATCCGCGAGATGTTAGTAATCGATGGTTAGATATCTTGAATGATATGGCTCGAAACCGTTTGGAGTGACGCAAGTGCATTCAATGTCTATGTTCTCTCAAATCTTAACCTTCTGAATTCCTCATGACATTTATCTTTGTTTTCTGAAGTTTATCTCCCTGAATTATAGTTCTTGAATAACATTGTTGAACCCTAATCTCTTCCATTACTGCTAATACGTGTACTACCTCTACTACTATGGGCTATGAATTGACAGTTGCGTCTCTGTACTAATGTGGTATGTCAACTTTAACTGATGTACGTACATACGTACGTACGAAGTTCTACGTTGCTGTTGACTAATTGACTGACATGATTTTAATCGGTTTAAATTGCTATACGCTTCTGAAACATAAAGCACGTAGTAAAGTTGAACAGTTTGTATGGCATCTGATCAAGATACTCCAATAAAATTAGTGTTGAAACCATTTATTACCTTCAGGAACACCTTTTTAATAGCGTTCAGTTTTTCAACTCTGATGCGTCCCACTTAATCACATCTTCCGTTGACCCGGTTATTGAGCTTCGTGATATTTGGTTGGATATAGTTTTGAAATCCAGTGGAATGAGTTGATGGGTCTGAATTGTTTGAGTCAATAAACTAACATATTGAAGCTGTCTGATTTACGTAACACGGTAGTTGGTTAAATGCAGAGATTCTTGCTCAATGATTAAATTCTGCAGATTTATTAACCCTTCGAATCAGCATCCCAATCAATTGCAGTTGTATGGCCACGTCCAATTCTTGTAAAATCTGTAGGAGATTCACGTTTTTGAAGCCTCTTTCTGTTATCAGATGTGTTTTGAGTTAAACTAAGATGCAAGTCTCGTAACTTATTAACATATTATGCTCATTGATTTTGCTTGCAGGTTCTACAATGGCTCCTGAGGCAGCTTTATATGAAACTTGTTATGTAACAGCGCATAAAGCAGCTTGTCGTGCAGCATCCTTTAACAGTACAGGTAATACAATGTAGTATTTTTATTTTCGTCGACATGATTCTCGAGTTAAAGCAGATTCAGTGTAAATTTGTTAACTACTGTAGAAATTGTTAGTAGTGTAATCTCTATCAACTAAAAATCGTTCATTGGCTTTGTTGTATTTTGTGCTTAACTGATGTCACTAGAAATCATCACTTTCAATCCATCGCTTGATAATCGTGAAAATTATACAACAGTCGCTTTTGTATGTTTGAAGATGAACTTTTGAAATAACTACTATCCGGAGTATAGGTTAGCATAGGAATATCTGTGTATGGTTGGTGGAAACGGTTCATAACACAACAACAACAACCAATTAGATGTAAATGTGGGTCATATATATAAGTGATTGTCATGGAACTATCCTTGTTTAGTTGTACGTTTTTTAGTTACAAATTTTCCACCAATAACACATTAATAGGGTGATATCACTGTTTTCGTTAACAGACTGGTTTACTTTATTTTTATGACTTAATAATTTATGGAAATATCCATTGATTGATCTTCTACATACCTCCCATAAATTATATTCGGTTTTATGCCAGACGTTTACATGAACCTAACAGAAAACATTTAACCTAGGTTTTAGTCTACCAACATTCTATCTTAAGCCACAATTAAACCAAGTCTCGTTCCTGACAGTGTATTTACATCGATTAACTTCAAATATATTGAATTGAGAGCTAACTTTCTAAGATTTCAACTGACCACCGCGTTGTACCAGATTGTAGTAAATACAAAGCATTCATTGAATTATGACTAGTAGTATGTTATTTATAGAAATTATTAACCATTCAATAAATCCTGTACAATTATTAGTCTGCATAAACTGATCCATATTTAGATTCCATTTATGGTTGTTGTATGATGAACTGTCACTAGTGTTCATCAATCACAAATGCTGATCGTATTTTTTAATTAAAATGGAGTTGTACAAATCTCTGCTGGAGATTATTTAAGATCTATTCTGGTGAAAATATTATCTTTAGGAAAAATATCGTTTAACTTATTGACTCCTTATAAAAGAAAAGATAAAATATATGCAGTCTATGTGTTTATTGTTGTAATTTTTGCTCCCATTAGGTCAGTTAGTTGCAACAGGATCTCATGATTCTTCTATAAAGGTAAGAAGTAAATAAGTTTTTGTTTGTATGAATTTCTATTCTTATAAGTACAATATTATGTTAAAGTAAGTCTGTAAAATAGTGAAATACTGATTAAGTAATTTCTTTTGACTTGGTGTTCTTTATCCTACTAAAATGGAAGTTAAGCATTTCTCAGTGTTTTGGTCAATCATTTACGCAACGTAGTTGGTATCATTACTACAATTATCATTACTTTTTACCGTATTCAGTAAAAAGCAAATGCATATCTTCAATAATTAATTGTTCAATATAAATATTTGAAACACAGTTTGAAATTCAAATATATGAATTGAAAAATAATAACAACGCTAAGCAGAAACATACATTTGTTCTACAAGCTTACTCGTTCTTTTTGAATGAAACGTATATTTGCAATGAATACGACTGGATGACTTAATCTGTTAAGCGATAATCTAATGGTTAGTACATTAATAGATCACAAGTTTGGATTATGAGTCAATTTGAACACCTTTAGCTGAAGTATACAAACTTGTGCTCGATGCGTTGCATTACACTTTTATCATTATTTTTATTATCGGTGCACAGTAAACGGATTGAGTATTAAAGTAACCATTAGTAAACCATAAAACTCAAAGCTTTAAAGAATATTCTTAATAGTCATCCAATACAAGTGTGGAAGAAATTTACATTTATGTTGTATGCGCGGTACCTTAGTGGTCATAGCACCTTATTCTATACCTACTTTGATCTAGAAAACTGGATAGTAATGTTATTGAAGAGATTGATCTTATAGTAAGCATTACATGTTTTCATTAAGATCATTTATTTACTGTTTTTTTTTTGTGGTTGTTTGGTTTTCGATGCGTAAATCGCCTGCATTGAAGATACTTGATGTTGAACGAATGCTAGCCAAAAGTGTTTCACCAGCTGATCATTTAGGTCAAGAAACACCACAACAACAAATGGAAACTCATCCAGTTATACGAACACTTTATGATCATACAGCTGTAAGTTGCATGAGTTATTTTTTAAAAAATAAAAGAAATTATTTCTTCACACCACTCTATAAAGTTAAATAGTTGTACTAAAGACATTATATGTTTTTTCAAACTATTTTCTCCATTATGTTAATTAATTTTGTCAACAATATAATACCAAAATAGTATTGTTTTTTCGCTCTCAGTCAATTCAATTCATTAAACATAAGATTTCTTAAAGTGTATATTATTCAAACTATGTAGGCATTTGTTTTTTTAGTAAATTTTTTTTAAAAACTACAATGATAAAATCATTATGTTTGAGTGAGTTAATGTTGAACGTTGTGTTGATTGAATCTAAAATTGGATGTCTTTTTGTTATTCTAATAGATTAGATTAGCCATTATTGACTTGTAGATCTTTTTACTCATTGGTTAATCGATTCGTAGTAACTTAATAGCATGAAATCGACTTCACAGTGCAGCTTACATCTTATTAATCAAGTAGTATTGCATGCACTACGGTAATTGACTTGATATATATATAATATATCATGACAATCGGTACATGCGTACAGTCTTTCAGTGATGTAGGCTTTGCTTGAAAAGCGAACTGTAAGATATGGTTAAGTGATCATATTAACTAATAAAAGCGATTACTAGAAAAATCCGGATAGTCAACTTTAGTTAATGTTTCTCAGATTCTGAACTAACCCACTATCTACCCGCCTGTGCAATTGTATATGGTCGATAAGTTACATATGAAAGTGATTTCGTATTGTGTTTATGTTACATAACTCTCATAACAATAGTTACACAGAGATCATGAGAAATTCTCCACAAAACTGCTACTACTACTACCATTGTTTTTTAACAATTCATGAAACATCACATCTTAACATCAGTGTTCATTATGGACTTCTCTGTAGATTCTCTATATTTCTCAGAAAACTTATATTCCCATCAGTGACGATTGACAAATTTATTGACGAATAGAATCAAAGTACAAAATAAAGGAAGCTGTTTATACATGCCCTTTTGAGAAACACAATATTTCTGAAATTTCCAGCCATAATCAGTCAAAAAACGTATTTTTCAATGTCTCCGTTTTCATTTTTTTCAATTCTGAACACAAATTTAAGTTCGAACCCCTTAAACTCATCCTTAGTAGCTGCTTCTTTATGGAACGTCAAACTTCTTTATAAATACCCACACATTACACACTATATGATTGTTCGTTGTAGTTTCAGTCAACTTTCTGAACTCCACACTACTAATTGTTGAAGTCTAGTGATACGGTACATTCCTGCTTTGAGTCATTTGTGTTATTAGTTGAGGATTTCAAATGACAGCAGAGTTTCATGCATAATAGCTTGAAAAAACTGAACTTTCATATTTTTCACAATCACTATGTATTCAGTATTTCACAATATTATTGATTTCTGTGGTATGCAAAAAATAACCAATTGTTATTATCTTAAATTATACTATCCATTCATTGGTTTAGTTAAAAAAATCTCTATCTATCTCTTTCTCTTATACTATACACTATCCTGTAATCCGAATATCTTGACCCTCACAAGAATTTCTATTTTTCTTTTAAATGCCAGAAAAAAAAAGAGATTTATGAAATTCAATCAATCAATAGCAACGTAGAACTTCGTACGTACGTACATCAGTTCATGTTGCCATACCACATTAGCACAGAGATGTAATTGTCAATTCAAATCCAATAGTAGTAGAGGTATTAGCAGTAGTCGGAGAGGTTAGGATTTGAAGAAATTATTCAAAAAGTAGAATCTAGTGAAATAGACTCAAAAAGATTAAGTGATGAAGAATTAAAAAGTTTGGGATTTGACAGAACACAAAGAATGAATGCACCGGCGCCACTCCAAACGGTTTTGAGCCATTTAGAACGAGGTTTCAGGAGATTGGGAATAACGTTTCGTGAACTCGCATCGTTTGCATTAGCGGTGCAGTGTGATAAAGGAATGTGAGTTACTCGTGGAGATAAGAGAGGTATTAGGGGGTCTAGGAAGGATTTGATTGTGACCGATTTGATCTCGTGTGCTGTTATGGGTTTAAGGGCGGTTGTCACTTCCCAGCTGCCCACTCTGTGGAAGGGTATTTCTTGAGGAACCTGAAAAGGAAGGTTGAAGGTTGTTTCTTAAGGGACCTGAACAAGAAGATAGATTAGTGTCGGTCTAAAAGACCTGGGTGCGTGACCGCAGTTCCCAGGAGACAACTGCTTGAGGCCGGTCACGCACGGCCTTTTGATGAAAGGTTTCTTGAGTATTAGCTCCGCTCTTGAAAGCCCCTAGTGGGCACCCTTACCGACGGAGACGGAAATCCGTGAAGTAAGGTGAGATGTGACATTTTTAGGGTCGACCTTTTCTAACCCTTCCTTCCTTGTCAGAAGGCAGCATCGCTGCAGATGCTGGTCGTCTGAGGGAAATACCCTACTGCTGTCACACCCCTCTGCAGTCAACAGTACGACTTCGCCCTCAGACCTTGGGTAGCTGCTTTTAGTCTCATCGTTTTTCAATGGACCTGCCTGGCATGGTAGAACCTTCAGGAACATATGTTCCAGCCAATATAGCTCGTTTGGGTCATCACGATAGGCAAGCCCGACCACCACATCAAGGTAGCAGCTACGGTCGGGATTTATAAAATTTCTGTAGGTGACTATCATCTGAAACCAATATTCTATCCCATTTTAGTATTGTTTCCATCTTTTTATCAGCACTGTTGATAGTAGTTACAAGTAAATGTATAATGGTAAATGTATGTTCATCGTAAAGAGTACATCCTTTTTTTTCAAACAGTCAACCATTACATACATACTTTAAAAAAATTTCATAAGAAAATTAGTCAACAGGGAAATAATTTCATTTTATAATCATATTTTATAGTTGTTCAGTTTTTTTTTCAACTGATAATTTATGGGTTGTAGTATGGTTTTAATAGTCAACATCTAATTTAATTCTCATATCTTGTTGATTTTTGAATAAAGACAATCATAAACATTAATTTAAATTGATGAAAACACATAAATGAGTATATTATGGGAATTCCATACTTTTACTCGTCTTCTGAGAAATGACCATTTCAAATTGACCTTTAGTCAATCTTCACCATTTAATAAATTGCTTTGAAATGTTGACAAGTCAGCAAGACTAGAGCTTGATGTTCATTATTTACTTCACATTTTAGCTAGCATGTAAGTTGACTACCAAGCGAATAGTTCCAAAATTATACGTATAAATTATGAATAGGAAGAATATGTCATTTGGTCAAGTCTAAATGTGGACTATGGTTAAGTCAAGTGCATGAAATCGATTTGTGATCCCAAATTCATTTAAGTACGCATATATTGCCAAGTAGAATTTTATGGTTTGGATTTTAGATTGAAATCAAAAGAAAAGAAATACTGACCGGTATATAGGCGCAATGATATAATGTGGTTGTTTGACGGATACTCATGATATTGGATTATTGATTAAAGCCCTAAAATTATTTCAAATCAAAGGCAAAGTCACTAGCCAAAAGAATAGGTTCTTTTGCGTTGAAATGACATACTCATATACACGATATAAACACAAAAATGGAAATCGGCTTGTGGATCACTTTCCAATCAATTAAAACTTGAATAGTTCGTCCTATCATTCCCCGCAAAAAATGGTATGAATCCGAAGGTTTCTTGGTTATAGATAGCAGAAAACACTTCCCCAGGCGAATAAAACACTTATCGTGTGAATCTGGGCTATCTACGGTTGACTGCATCTCAACGGCTATTATGTAGCTGTTGTGGGGTATTGAGGTGGTATTTTTTTAATATGCTCGTAGATTTCGCCACCGGTTTGTGTCTTGAATTTTCCCGATATTTGATTTTCTAAGCGTCTTGTGGCTTAAACGTCTAACTTTTTATTTAATTATATTACACTTGCTGCCTCGAAAGGTTTTGTACGACAATGATTTAATGTGTCCTCATTTTATGCATACACTTGTGTAATATTTAAACCTATACGCATTTGCCAAGTTTTATAATAATCTCTATCAGTTTGTAACGAATTTCTCAATCAGTGTAATCTACAAGCCACAAAACTCGTTCATTAAAATTAGTATCTGAAGTCATATGAAATTGATGAGAATGAATGTCATCATTCTATTTCTGGAAATACAACATTGGTGTTTTTTTAGGTAATTATCACTAAATGGAGTACATATATTGTATTATCCAATCTGATTCATCCAACAACACTTAACCATCATCCAGATCGAAATCGTGTGAAAATCTTTGTTGCTAATAGCCAAACAATAATGATTAGTGTTCATAGGTTATCAAACAAACTGAAACGTGTGAATGATGAACTTGGCTAAGTAGACAATTCATTCACCTACTTGTACATATACATGATTACTGCATGTCTAATTCAATCTTCATTAGTCTTATTCAATAAATGTTCATAGCAAATTTTATCTTTTGACATAATATAAGCTAAGAATAGAATAAAAAGCTTTTAGCCCATTATTGTATCCAAATCAAAGCTAGAAGTTTTTCACAAAATAAATCAATTTCATGTGACTGTAATGTAATGAAAGATTTAATGATACACTCATGCACATGAGATGAAGTTTTTATGTATGATTAGATAAATGTTTTTGTTAACTTCTTTTTTAGTTACTTATTATTGAAAACGAAATGTAGAGTGCTTTTCTTTTTAATATTTACGAGTTTCCTTCAATTTACTTTAATTATTTTGCTAATATAATCAGATTCAAAATCCATTCCATTTAGTGTTATTTGCTTTTTCGAATTTTTATCTAATTAAATTCCTCATTCTTTCTTGTTTAATTTATTTGATTTTTGTGTTTTTTTCCTATGGATATTTTTCATAATACATTTCAATTTATGTGGTTTATGTACTTTTGTAAACGCCCTATTTTTCATTGTAAAAATTTTAATAATGTGTAGACTAAATTTTGGATAAATCTTATTTCATATACTATTTGCCTATTACTTATTGGCTGAAGATATAACAATTTGGACCAACACACAATTGTGCCTTACTCTACATTGATTATGAGTGATTGGTTAATTTTGTGGATGTGGTTGTCAACACGTTCAAATGTTCATTGAAGCAGATGTGCTCTTACCGACGCGTTGTAAACCTAACCTTTTGAAGCTAGAATAACATTACGACGGCGCCAAATGTGGTTCATATAGGCTTAAGCTACTGTGGTCCTGACTTCACATAAATTGATTTGATCTGATAGTCCATCACTAACGCACGCAGCAACCCAGATACTCGAACTGAACAGATTAAAGTTATATGTAATCAGATAGCCAGTTCAAAAATTTGTTTTACTTCTTTGAAAAGTGGTATGTTAATGGTTAATTCGATGGACGTTCAGCTGCTTTTTTTAGGCTCAAACTTGACTCCACCTAATTCAAATTTAGTAGCCAGCTGATAATGTGGCTTTCCTTCCCACAATTAAAGTTTATCCTGAAGACAAATACACAAACGTATATTTAGTGATGAAGTTGCAGTAAGCTTCTATATTTTTTGTTGCATTGATATATTTATTCATTATTTATTTTACCATATTACCTGTCGTCTCATTTTTTTAATGAACACCTTTACAGGAAGTTACGTGTGTCGACTTCCACCCAGATCCAACATTGCAAATCCTTGTTAGTGGAAGTAAAGATTATACAATTAAACTGTTTGATTTTTCGAATCCATCTGTAAAAAAAGCTCAACGAAATATCCCGGTAAGTAGCTTTAACAAATTTATCTCGAAATGATATACATTAGAAATTATTCAGTTCTCGATGGTACCTAGCATATGTGTCTTAAATCTAACATTAGTAAACACTTTCGCTATATTTTAAAACTTAATTCATGATTTTTATTTCATGTCGAACGTTATTTCCAGCTTCATTGTCATCTATAACTCATTATCTTACTAGGGCAATCACTTAAATTTAGCATGAAAGTATATCTGATATTTGCCAAATCATTCTTACCAAGTTTAAGGTGAATAATTTGTTAAATTTAAACTAATTAATCAGTATACCTCTCACTTACTCGATAAGTAACTACTTAAGTACTGTCAGTATATGGTTGCGGAGATTATTGAGCCTCTTTGAAATTCATGGACTTATCAATGTTAGACTACCATTAAAAACGTGTAGGCACTATACGGTCGTTTTGCTCCAGTACTGGTCTCATCAGCAGTGCATATCCATGACCCCGCTAGCGCGAACTAAAACCATGACCTTCGGTCTCGTGCCTGAACTCTTGACCTCTTAACCGGCATCCAGTGGTGTTAATGCCAATTATACAAGTTATACTTCGACACTGTTGGATGCCGGCCAAGTAGTCAAAAGGTTAAGCGTTCTGTGATTTTCTAGCTGAAATCAATCTGTGATGCTACTCATTAAAATTCACTATTCAAAGTTCTCACTCTGTATACCAATATATTTATTACATTTACTTCTCATAGTAATTGTTTCTATTTCACTTCCTTTCGATTTTTAATCCTATGAATTTCGTTTCTGAATGTTCTAGTATAACGTATTGCATTGTAGATTAAAAAACATTTTTACCAGATCATATATTATTTATGACTGAGGGATTTGCTCATTTGCACTCTGTGTACTAACCAAATAAACCATTGCCAAATTGGAAATCGATTTTCATCATACATAGTTGAATATGCATGTGCATGTGTGTATGTGCGTTTACGTTTTACATTACTTAGTATGAACATCTAATGCACATGTCACTAATCCCGTCTAACTTTTAATGAGTTGGTACTTACTATATGACAATTTGTTTAATGTTGAATAACTGTCTACAATTAGTAAGTTAATAACTTACATTGTTAATTGATTATAGTTCTAAATCCTACCTTTAAAGAACCTATCAATTTAAACAATGTTAAATTTGACATGATATTATCAAGTGAAATATTACTATGTTTTATTATAATAGTGTTCTTTGATTCAATTTAAAATGATTCAGATTATCCCGTTGTTGATATTGTTAATTGGAATTTAGTCACTGTTAGTATATGGGTGCATTGCGTCAATGTAGCCACTCTGACGCTATTTTGATATCGAACAAATGAAACGTGGTGAACAGTAGAATCAAGGATGTGCGTCTCGTCCTATCGACCGTGTCATCTGAATGTACCTACATCCATCCAAATCTTAGTTAAAAATATCATCAAATTGAGTCTCACCCGTTTCACAAGTAAGCAGTTATCTAAACTCAGTAACTAAGTGGATAAGGCGATGGCGTTTGAAGCAAGCTATACTCTGGGATGTGAGTACATTCTGCTGACGAATCCCAAATAAGATGAGATGAACGTAAGTGGATTCCACTCCTAGCAGCTACTTTCTATCAAAGTGTTCTTTTGGTCGTAGATGACCGATCATATTTGTTATGTTTTTTTGAATGCCAACCTGTACCGGGCACTATACTTTGAACTGAAAACTTTCAATGTACTTTTGTGTGATAATTGTTTCTAGCGATGATTGATACGTGCAGTGAAAGCACAACTTGTCATCAAACTTCGTAGAAATTGTTCTCTAACTTTATTTCTTGATCAACAACAGTAAGGTGGTGATTTTAAAGAGTGATATCTTGTTTTCTTTTTCACTTGATTTCTATTCCCTTTTCCTCTTTTTTTACTGATTAAGATTGATTAATGAACCGAGTGCTTTAATTAATTTTAATGATGGAATCAGTCAGTCAGTCAGATGCAACGTAGAACTTCGTACGTAAGTACATCAGTTCATGTTGCCATACCACATCAGCACAGAGATATAATTATCAATTCAAATCCAATAGTGGTAGAGGTAGTAAAAGTACTAGCAGTAAAGGAGAAGATTAGGGTTCCAAGATATTATTGAAGAAGTATAATTCAGTGACATAGGTTTAGAAAGACAAAGGTAGAGGTGTTGACCAATCCAGAGGATTAGGATTCGAGAGAATACAAGGAGTGGATGAACCTGCGTGATTGCAAACGATTTTGAGCCATGTCATTCAAGGTCTCTAACCATCGATTATTATCATCTCGCGGACTCCGACCAGGTAGCCTACAACTACCAACATAACTCAATCCACTTCTCAGTGACTTCATGGAGTTATGCCATGATTTGGTCTGGCCGCCCCTAACTTTCTTCCAACCTATTCCTACACTACAAAACAAGGCTCGACGAGGCAGTCGGTCGTTGGGCATACGCAACACATGTCCCAACCACCTCAACTGGTGAAGTTTCAATACTTCATTGATTGATCTGCCATTCTTACCTAGCACCCGTTTCCTAATAACAGCGTTGCTCACTCGGGTGTCCCACGATATACGAGCAATGCTTCGAAGACACCTATGATCGAAAACCAGTAACCTACGAATATCTTCTACTCTCACTGGCCATGTTTCACAGCCATAAAGTAAGACGGAGCGAACTGTTGCATAGTACACTCGTCCTTTTGTTAGCAAGCTGATATCTCGCCTGCGCCATAGGTGACGCAGGTTGGCAAAAGCCAATCGTGCCTTCTGTATCCGTGCTGAGATTTGGTCAGTCACCAGGCTATCAGCACTGATGAGACTCCCCAGATAAGTGAAGCGGTCTACATGTTCGACTCCTTCACTCCCTATCACTAGTCCAGGTGCCGATGCGACCCATTCTTGAAGCAACATTTTGCATTTCGAGGGAGAAAACCGCATCACGAATATGATTGCATTGTTGCTTAGGGTGGTCAAAAGACTGCACTTTGTCAGCGTCTTCACCAAGTAGAACTATGTCATCGGCATTTTCTAAGTCAATAAGCAAGCCACCTGGTAGAAGGTCTACTCCTGAAAAATCTGACGAGCTTAATGTTAACTCTAAGAGGATGTCTACGACAAAGTTAAACAAGAATGGAGAGAGTGGACATCCCTGACGGACACCACTTGATGTAGAGAATTCAGATGACAGTTCGCCATATGCTCTCACCCGACCAGTGGTGTTCGAGTAGAGAGCTTGTATAAGGTTAATGTACTTCTTTGGTACACCTTTCAATGACAGACACTGCCACAGAACCTCACGATCCACTGAGTCAAATGCCGCTTTTAGGTCCAGGAACACGACTATTGTTGGACCTCTAAATGTGTGTCTGTGTTCTAGGACCTGTCGTAGTGTGTAGATGTGGTAAATATAGCCACGTCCAGGACGAAAACCAGCCTGGTTTTCTCTGGTCTGCTCATCACAAGCTTTCGTTAAGCGTCGGAGTATTAGAGGCCAATATTTTAGATACTATATTAGTTAGACTTATTCCCCTGTGATTGTCACAATAAAACTTTTGTCCTTTCTTATAGATTGGGACAATCAGTGATTGAGACCACTCGGATGGGAGTGCAATAAATAAAATTAATTACATTTCAAACTTCAATAAACTGTTCAATGTATACAAGTATATCATGATTGAATAGTTTCTATCTTGTGACTAAACAATAAATGTTTCATTTTTTTATGTTACATAGTTATCCTTTCGTTTAAGAATATTTATTGATCAGCTTAATAGAAATAACTTTTCTATATTATTTATTTCTGTTAAAATATTCTTTATCGAAAGCATAGAACATTATTTAGAAATGTGATCGTGTTTATTATTCCCCTCTAAAGTACTTATAACATTGTAACCATAATTTAGATTTAAGGCTGAGAAGAAGATGAAATGATTCATGTGTAAGATTTTATAGTTAGAAATATTCTACCAGAAACTAATTGATCCATTGTATATATGTAAATATTATAATATTATAAGTGATTAATTACATCCATATAATTTGTTTTATGAGAAAAG